GTTAGTCCCATCACACCTTAGTCCCATCACATCTACCAGAAGATTACAGTTATGGTGCAAACGGGAGAAGTATGAGAAATCATCCGGGGATTTACCTCTTCTCATGCAGGAGAATCATATATATCGACCCCAAGTAGTTCCACAGTATCAGACTACAAAAAATTCACTCCCCTCGCACTCTCCTGTATTTTCATCAGAATTGGACTCTGAAACTCTAATTTAAGCTGGAATATTGCTGAGGACAATCAATTTAATAATAAATAAAAACAAAACAGTACCTGGCTTTTATCTTGAGAGTTGAGAATTGAGAGTTGGAGAGAGTGAAATGAAAGCTCATATGGTGATTTCATCATCTATCTCTATGCAAGGAATGCGAGCTAGGTTTCTCCAATCTTTTCCCTTCTTGTTCCGATACCTCTTCTTCAGAGAAGGACAACCCCGGATCTTCAGATAAGAAAGAGATGCCGGCAAACCCTCTTTTGGCAGGAATTTGAGACTCTCGCACCCTTCAATTTGTAGCCATTGAAGAGAAGCGAGGTGCTCAAATCCCTTTCCGTCCAAAGATTTCAGATTCGATACTTCATAGATTTGGAGAGTGTGAAGAGTGGCAGGGAGCAGCTGTTCATTGAGCAACGTCTCCACCAGATCCCAGTTACAGTCACGGATAAATAATGTTTGTAGGTTGGGAGGCAAACCCCCAACCTTTGGAAGACGATCCTGTTGAGCAAAAATTGTACATAATATGTAAACAAATAATTCACTCGACACAATTTTACCCTCGTTCATTTTTCGAAGAGGGTTTTATTAATTCGAGTTCGACCCATTATAGGCTACGCGCCTATTAATTACAACCTTTCATTTGGGAAAGGAACACCCTTTGATTCTAATATGAATAAATCGTAACTTGGGAATTTAGATGTTTATTTGATTTTGTGACTGCATCTAGATAGAGCCCTAGATTGCCTACGTACCCTCGTTGAGGGATCAAGTCACTCGTAGTTCCTTGGTATTTGGTACTTGTTTGATTTTGATGCCTTATGCAGTTTTAGCTCATGCAGGCGAGGACTTTAAGTCATTAGAGCATTAATGCCTTGTGCAGTTTTAGCTCATGTGGACGAGGACTTTTAAGCCATTGGAGCATTAATGCCTTGTGCAGTTTTAGCTCATGCAGGCGAGGACTTTAAGCCATTGGAGCAATAATGCCTTGTGCAGTTTTAGCTCATGCAGGCAAGGACTTTAAGTCATTGGAGCATTTGATTCGGCTTCATGCCATTTGAGATTTTTCTTCAGCTTCATGCCTTTTGTGATTTGATGCGGCTTCATGCCATTTGAAATTTAAAGCGGCTTCGTGCCATTTGTAATTTGAATCGGCTCGCTTCTCTTTTACTCTTCGTAGAATTTGTAATTACTTGGTCAAAGTAACAGAAGTGAATTTAGTTTATATAAACTAGGGATTCGTCTTGATTTCAACTTCACGGTTGCGTCTAAAATTTTAATATTAGACTGCCTACGTATCCTTAACGGAATCAAACCGGCGTAGTTCATAAAAACTTGATATCATGGTTGTGTCTGAAAATTGATATCAGACTGCCTACGTATCCTTAAAGGAATCAAACCAGCGTAGTTCATAAAAACTTGATTTGGATTTGTAGAATTTTTGTATCAATTATATGCCAACTGATACAATGGATGAATTTTCTTTGGAGATCATATCCACTGACTTCACTTGGAAAGTCATACCAATTAATTGTTTAATGAGTATAATCCCCCTCGATTGGCAACTTTGTTTCATGAGTTCAGCCTGCTTCATTTTTGAAAGCTTTGTTCCAGATTTTTATTCCACGGCAACACCACTTTTAAAGTTCTCTCTCAATTCCATTGGTAGCTCCTGGGTGGTCTTGTATTTGTTGTTTGGGAATACTGATAAACTTTGTAGAATTTAGCTTTGTCGTTTTTGTTTTTTTTTTCTTCTGTTTTTGGACAGATAGACACCCTTTTAATTGTTGGCTCTTTCATCCTCGAACCATCACGTGAGTGCCTCATTTTCTTCCCTTTTTATATATATTTTCCTTTTGATCTTTCATCCCCATTTAAGATGGGACTTTGAACCCATTTGACTGACAGCAAGCTTCACTCTTTTTTTTTTAACTTTACAGCTTCCAAATTCAACAAACTCTATTCTTCTCCACGTGAGGTGCCCATTTTTTTCTTCCTTGCTTTCCTTTGTCTTGTCAACTTGTCAGTTTGTCAGCAAACTCTTTTTTCTTCGCTGGGAATTTTTGAAACTTTTCCAAATCCCGTAGAACTTTACGTGAGAGTAAACATCTATTTATTTCCCTCCTGTAGTAACTTTTTCCTTGGTGGGATTTATGCCACGCGGAATGAAAAAGGATTTAAACACCTTTTGCTGGTTGAAGAGCTTCTGAAGTCTTTGAATTCTTTTTGAGAGTCATAACTCCTATTTCACATAAGCAGTGTATCGAAGACTTATGAAAGGAAGACAGCAACTTATATATTCATCTGCCGTTGCTTGTTCATCCGTGAGGGATGAAGGATGACACACCATTCATTTGTCGTTGCTTGCTAATCTCTCTCCTCTTGACTTTTAACGGAAACGGACGGCATGTTGAACTCTTTCTCCTCCACGACGAGATGTACATTCCAATTTGTTTTGCTCTTCATGATGTGTTGTTTGTACATTTGTCTTTGCTTTCTTCATGGACTTTGTGAAAGCTCCAGAGACTTTGATGAAATTCTTATAAGAAAACTGCAGCGACTATTTCAACTTCGGCAGCCACTGTGGTTGTTTTCACGGTGGAGGACTTCGTTCATGACCACCCTTTTTTTATGCCGTTGATGAGAAAAATGGAGTATGCTGCGACGCTGGGCTTGCGGACCGGAGGACGGCGTGATCGCTGTGGCCGTCGGTGTTGTTGAAGTGGTGGTGTCCGGTGACGTCGTAGCGGGCTGTTGCCAAAGTCCAGGTGAGAAGGCAGTCCTCCGGTTCCAGTTTGTCGCGAAAAGTGAGAGCTTCGGAGCCATCACTAGGCACAGTGGTTTGGCACTGTTCCTTCATGCAGGTTGTACTTCCAAACTTCTTTAGGCACCCATTCCTTCATTGACGCGACTTCCTTCGGGTTCTTCTGGTTTTATGCAACACGGCATTACCAAACCCATCTCCTTCAAGCCGTATCCTCCATTGACGTGACTTCCTTCGGGTTCTTCTGGTTTTATGCAACACGGCATGACCAAACCCATCTCCTTCAATCCGTATAATGTACGGACGGTAAGTATGGGTTACTTAGACTTTGATTGGAACTTCACGGGGTGGTCTAGGCCACCCCGAAGAAATTCATGGGATTCTTGGAGATCATTTCTGCTGCTCCACCTCCATCTGTTTGGTGCAGGAAAAATACCAAACAAAGAAACAAAGGCAAAAAAAGGCTAAAAGAAATATTAGAAAATTTGATTTGTCCTTCTCTTTTTCTTTCTTTTGTTTCCTTGCATTGTGGACCATTGCCAAACAAAGGGGAATGTCATGAACCATTGCCTAGTGGTCTTTGGCTGCCATTTTTTTTGCGTTGTTTCTTCCTTCGTGTCCTTCTCTGTTTCTTGTACATATATACAACATAACAATAATCAAGAGAAAAATAATTTTAACAGGGCTTTGTCTTGTACCTGGTGATGAATATTCTTATTTGGTTCTTGACTTGAAAGCACGAATGGTTGAACTGCTTGCTCACTTTTCCGGCAGTACTTCGTTTTTTTTTTTGGTATTTTCTCTCAAAGCCTCTCTTAGTTTCTGCAGAGTATCCCCTCCCTTCTTTCCCTTTTTTTTTTTCTTGTTGTGGTTGATGCCTATTTATAGGCATCTTAGGAGGGTTCCAGCGTTCTTACGTGGGGGAGGATAGAAGCCTTTCTTTTCGCCACTTTCTCTTAAACCGACTCCATTTTTCCTTTTGTTGCAGAAAATGGGGGAACGCCCCCTGTTTTGCACGTTTCCCCCTTTTCTAGGAAGGGATTCATATTTTTATTTTTTTATTTTTTTATTTCTGAATGTTGTTTTGTATGTAAGGCCCATCCTCATATTTTGGGTTGGATTACATTTTTTTGCCTTGTAGTTTGACCCAATTTGTATGGACTTCATTTTTTATATGTCATGTATTTTTATTGTTCAACAGATCCATCGACAAATATTGAAGGGCGGTGAGGGTGTGCATTCGGTCCGTCAACAACTTCAAATTCTCGCAGTTGTAGACTTGAAAGAAAGTGAGGTTGGGAGTGGGCAATCCCCGGTTGTGTGGCTGCATATGAATCAGAAAAACAATGAATGGACCCCTTAGCGACTGGGAAATCCTGCTATGTGCTATCATGTACATGAAGCACTACCACAGTTGAGTTGCTACTTACCAAGAAGGTTTCTAAATTTGAGAGCCCGCTGCTCCAACTTTGACCATCAAACTTGGGTTAAGGTATATCATCATCTATTTCTCCACGGCATCTTCCTCTAGAGCAGTTAACGAATCAAATGATTACCTGCATATATAGTGAGGAAATCTGCAATGTTTAAATAATTTTTTTCTTCGTTTGTTAACTTGCTATGTGAATCACACGACATCACACACGCTAATATATAGAAAACAAACCTCCAAGTCCAGATGCAACTTTGAATATTCTCTTGATTGCTCATGAAATCCACAAAGGTGAGAAGAATGCTAATATATAGAATACAAGCCGACAAATACGTTAGTCCCATCGTGTTGTCCTGACTGATTGCATAGTTGAATTACATTGATCCATAAAGGAAGAATAAATTACACTCAAGTGTTCAACTACTTGCACTGAAATCTGTAGGCGCAGCAGCTAGCCACCAAGTCTATTTACACTGGCATTCTAGCAAGCGGTGCCAATAAGCCATGCTCTCTTCAACCATGGTGTTTGTAGACAAACATATGTATATATGCACCTACCACAAGATGACAGAGGCACTGAAAGATGAGTAAGCATTCCGCCATATGGAAACCACAGAAGTATAGATATATATACACACAAGTACCTGAGTGGTTGATGTAAGCAAACATCGTTTTCCCTCAGATACATTCAATCTTTATATAGCTGTTCAAGAGAGCTGAGGTCTAGAGGTCCCTGTCCTGGAAGGAACTGCGAGAGTGGGAGGTGTTGAAAGTCCATTTCCGTCCAAAATATTTCAAAATTGACGGTCCAGAAAATCTGAGCACCATTTGATAATCCTATCTTTACAGGTTTGCTTGCTCGCTCGCTGCATCAATTAAACCGATATATCTGTTAGTCCCATCACACTTGGCCGGTCCCAAGCCCGGATAAAGGAGGAGGGGGAGGGCGTCAGGTAGTCGACAGCCGGCACTCCATGATCACGTCGAATCCTTATGAATCTGTTAGTCCCATCACACCTACCAGAAAATTACAGTTATCTCGCAAACGAGACAATTATGAGAAAAGTATCATCCAGGGTTTTACCTCTTGTCATGCAGTAGAATCATATAAGAAAAGCTCATATGGTGATTTCATCATCTATCCTTATGAAAGGAATGCGAGCTATGTTTCTCCAATCTTTTCCCTTCTTGTTCCCATACCTCTTCTTCAGAGAAGGACAACCCCGGATCTCCAGATAAGAAAGAGATGCTGGAAAACCCTCTTTTGGCAGGATTTTGAGACTCTCGCACCTTTCAATTTTTAGGTGTTGAAGAGAAGTGAGGTGCTCAAGTCCCTTTCCGTCCAAAGATTTCAGATTCCATACAGAAGAGATTTCGAGAGTGTGAAGAGTGGCAGGGAGCAGCTGTTCATTGGGGAACGTCTCCACCAGGTCCTTGTATCCTGAGATCCGAAATTGTTGAAGAGAGGCAAGTCCTCGCAATCTCCACTCCACTGAAGGCCTCAGTCTCTCACACCAGCTGATCCGAAATGATTGTAGGTTGGGAGGCAAACCCCCTTGTGCAAATGACACCACATTTGGAAGATCATGCATCTCCAAACGTTGAAGGGCGGTGAGGGTGTGCATTCGGTCCGGCAACAACTTCAAATTCGTGCAGTGTATGACTTCAAAGGAAGTGAGGTTGGGAGTGGGCAATCCCCCGTCGGCAAAAGAGACAAGATTTCGACAGTTCCATATACGCAGGGAGTTGAGATGGCTGAGATTTTCATCTGCTCCTCCTTCAACAGAAAGGGATTCCAGATTCCGACAACTTTGGATAAAAAGAGATGAAAGGTTGGGGAAAATGCCCAAAGGGAACGACCTCAGAGAATCACAGCTACGGTCTAGACGCAAAGACTGAAGGGAAGTCAATTTGGCCATCATCTCACGTGATAAGAATTCTAATTTCTCGCAGAGGAAAATAGTGAGTGACGTCAGCGTGTTAGGCAGACCATTTGTAGGGAATGACAAGAGTGAGGAACATTCATATAAACTCAAACTTTGAAGACGATTGCATTTGTGCACCATTTGCGACAAGAGTGAGGAACTGAGAATAGAAAGACTCTGAAGCGACGGCAGCGTCTCCGTCAACTCTAGTAACAATGAGAGACCCGGGCATCCATCTATTCTTAGTTCTTCAAGAGATCCTCGTAAGGATTCCGTGTTCAGGGTATTACTGGCCCTGTTTTCATGTAGAACCGTACATCCACAGACCCAAAGGATTTTCAAGGAAGGAAGATGAGTGGGCAAGTTTCCTCTCAGCTTCGGACAATTGGATAATTTCAACTCCTTAAGACGAGGAAACTTTGGACTTTCACCTCCACTTGGACTAGGCTGCCATTCCTCCCACTCTGGCATATCCCAAAACTCCAGCTTCTCTAAACATTGAAATTGTTGATTTCCCCCGTACAACTCAACACCAACACTCTTAACAACTTTCATCCCTTCTACGTAGAGCTCTTTCAGAGCTGGTAGCTGACCAACTGGTGGCAATGAACTGCAATTACCACAGTAACTGAGACGCATCACTTGTAAGTTGGAGAAGGACGAGTCTCCCACCCAATTCGGGAAACTAATTCCGCCATAAAACCTGATGGTTAGCTTCACCAAATTTACCGAAGGTTGAAATCTTTCGAGCACATCTCTCTTTTACGGAATCATCGGAAACTACATCACCCCATGACAACTCTACCTCGTTGAGATCTTTCTTATCCTTCAGCAAGGCATCAATAGCACCGACTACATTTTGCAGATTCAAGATAGAAATTTTTCCTCCAAGGTGCGACAACTCCCTCAGCTCTGCAATGCTTGACCCAGTAGATTTCCCCAACACAAAAGCCGTCAGTGTTCTCAAACTTTTTAGTCTACCCATATGCACAGGCATCTCTTTTATGTTAGTTCCACCAATATCAAGATGACGCAAATGAATCAATTTCCTCATGTCTGCAGGCAATTCAACAAGAGAAGAACAACCTTTCAACAATAGAGTTTGTAAATTGTAGAGAGTACACACTGTATCTAGTAACCTTTTAATTGCCGTATAAGAGAGATCAATGTAACGCAAATGCATGTGGTTACCAATGGAATCAGGTAAGTGAGTGATGTTTTTGTATCCTGACAATGAAAATGCCCGTAAACATCTTTGTGCTGGCAGTAAATCATCTAGAACCTTATTGCTTACATATCCAACATTCCAAACACCATATGGTGGTAAAGACACTGGAAAGAAGGTACGCAAACACTTAACTCCTTTTAATGGCTCAAATATTGGAGATGTATCAAATTTTCCTCTCATATGACAAGTGGCGAACTCTTTTAGAAACTTTGTGCGAATTTTTTTGATCCAACCTAAAACAAAACTCTCCAGACACAAACATAGCCAAGTCATTGACAAGATCATGCATAGTGAAACTTGGTTTATCCAATCTTGGTCTTTGAAATAGTGAACGTGATAACAGTTCATTAAAGTACCTTTCACCAACCTCCTCCATTCCTTCTGATTGTGGAATTAAACCTTCTGCCACCCATAGTAGAATAACGTTTTCCTTTTCAAACTCATAGTCCTTTGGAAAAATTGAGCAATAAGCAAAGCATCGTTTCAAGTAAGCCGGAAGATAACGGTAACTCAATCTTAAAGAAGGAAGAAGACTATTAGGGTGTGGCAGATCCCAAAGATTACTATCCAATATGTGATTCCACTTCTTGTAGTCTAGGTAGCAACTTAAGAGACCCCCTAGCGTTTTTGCAGCTAGAGGCAAGCCGTTGCACTTACATGCAATTTGCTTACCAATTTCAACCAAGTCTGGATGTGCACCGGGGTTTTCATTTCTAAATGCATGTTTTTCCAGTAACGACCAACAGTCTTCATCCGACAATTCTTTTAAATCGTGAATAGGAACAGTATTGTGCACGATGGCTGCAACATGTCTGCTCCTTGTTGTTACAATGACTTTGCTTCCCTTTGCCCCATACGTGAAAAGAATTTGTAGACGCTCCCAGTCATCATAGTTTTCATTCCAAAGGTCATCCAAGATAAGTAAAAATCTCTTTCCACTCAGTTGTTCCCTTAGTTGAACTTCAAGGGAATTCATCTCCAAATTGTCACAAGGCTTTTTTTTAGTGATTTCCTCAATAAGGGCCTTAATAACCCTCAAAGCCTCATACTGTTCGGAAACACAAACCCAAGCATGAGTGTCAAGTGCTTTTTAACTTGTTCATCATTGAAAAGGAGTTGAGCAAGAGTTGTCTTACCAACCCCGCCCATACCGACTATAGGGACTACAGAAAAATTACTGCTACTTTCATTGTCAGATAGCAGCAGTAGATCTTTTAACTTGTCTTTATCTCCATCCCTACCATAGGTATAAAATCCGTCCCTAACAACAGAAGTTGTGGGAGTTCTTTGTGAAACATTGCCTCCAACAACATCTTCTCTAAGACGGAGGATATCTTTTTGATTTGCAAGGTCTTCCAACTTGTTGAATAAAACTTCTATCCTACCATTCATGCCTTTATAATTAAAAGGTTTACGAGAGGTAGAAAGGAAGTTCCACACCTGGGTCTGATCTTTCGCCTTGTGACGCGAAACTTCAGTATCGATCTCATCCACCAAGTCCTCGGCCTCGAACACAGCATGTTTGAGCTCGTCAAGCCACATCCCGACGTCACGGTCGACAATCTGCTTCTCCTCTGCATCGTTGAGCACTGCATTGAGGGTCATCAACTTCACCTTCAGTCTGCCCACGAGTGAATGGTCGAGTCTTCTTGCTCGGAGGAAGTCTATGAACTCTCCAGAAATCTTGTCGCACAGCACCTTGATCGAACCGGAGAGCAAAGCCTCTCCAACCAAAGCCATTTTCTCTTCTGGCAAAAGGACTAACTTTGATCAAGTATTCGAACTTGGAAAACTGAGAATTCTGCTTGGCAAAGCCTGTTAAGATTACTTCACGACAGGTGAGACGACTTGATATTTTTCTTGGTCAATAATGCAGTGGACCGCACACGGCAAACATAAAGTAGTAATTTGTGGAGGTTGGAAAACGTTACCATCCAACATTAATTTATTAATTATTTTCTTCCATAACAAAATCGTTGTTGGTCATGAAAATTGGTGGAGGTTGGAAAACATTACATCAAACATTAATTTATGTATTACTTTCTTACCCATGTGGATGACATTATTTGATTTGAGTGCATCTTCACATGTGGGGACAAAGTCAAAGAAAGTGACTGATAAAGAGGATCACAATTCAAGATTCTATCTAATCTTCCTAATCAGAACATCTCACAATTCTCTTATAATGGCCAATGATAGCTCACAAATACAAACATAAGCAGAAGAACAATAAAGAGCGATAACTACTCTAAATTTTTTGAATTCTCGTATTATTTTCATTGCTTTTGTAATTTCAGTTTGATAATAAGAGAGACTACTGCAGTTGCTCTGTAAACGTATACACATTTTTCGAACTCTGTAAATATTGTGTTTTATTTCTTTTATATAATATTTTACATATATCATCGATTTCATAACAGGACAAAGATTGTCTGCGCTCTTATTTTCTATGCTTCTTGTTTGTGTAGTCACAGTTAAGTCACATTAACATTTTATATTACTATTCATTTTTATCTTATTATATCTATAAAAAAATCAATATAAAATGTTGACATGACTTAACTTTAATCATACAAAATAGAAAAACATGGAAAAACACCGAAAATGGAAGAGCAAACAATCCTTGTCCTTCGTAACAAATCCAATTTATTTTTTACATTTTCTAAGAACTATTTTATGAAGTGACCAGATGGGCCTTAGTGGTTTTGGATTGGACAAAGCTCATGGATTATGACAAGAGCCCAGTTTCAACTTTGGAAGTTGGAAGTACACAGAGTTTGATGTGAAACCGAGGGCTTTGCTCTCCTACACATGGAAAAGTAAAAGAAAATGACTGAGACTTATCTAATTTTCATTTAATTAAATCTCAATTGTTAAGTCTTAAAAAAATATGTGCAAAGGAAAATTTCCATTGAAACCAACAGCCCAAACAAGTATGATTGAGAGACGAAAAATTAAAAAAAAAAATTGCTATAATTGGATCTCAACATTTTTCCCTTGTCTTAATAAAAGAGTAGAAAAAACCAACACGGGTAGTAGAGTGGTCAGGGACGAAGTCTAGGTTTATATTCCACACACTCGTTCAGGATTCGATTCTTGATGTTGGTGAATCAAACAATGGTGGTCATATGGCTGAAATGTCTCTATAAGTCTTTTGGGCACGCCAAAAGAGTGAATGGCCATGGTCACCAACTGATTCTTTTTTTTTTTTTAAATAAAAAATAAATAAAAGAAAAGAAAACGTTGGGGTAAATTAGAGCAAGACTATGTGCTTTATATATTCGATAATTGATAAAAAAAAAATTTGAAAAAAAAAGGCAATAATTTCATTAAACCAGACAAACTACTGTGATTTGATAAATGATAAATAAAAAAATTAAATGTGCTTTGTCTACCTCCCAATTGTTGTAACGGTTACATTTGGATCTTTGACCCATATGATATGATCACATGGCCTCCACCATCCTCTTGTGATGATTGAAATCTCCAAAACCAAATCTTGGTACTACTCTATGTATTCTACTCCATTTCCAAAAGCTCTATCTTCATCTTCCTGTAAAAAAAAAATTAAGAAACTTTCAAGCATGACTTCAACGTTATGTAACACTTAATGTTACGAGTGTATTAGTCGTTAAATTTAATTTTCACAATTATTACATTTTATATTTTCTATTCTGATTATTTATTTTCTGTAACACTCAGTACTATATGCTTTTTGAAGAAAAATTGAAAAGTTTGTACTTCTTTCTTCCTCTGCCAGTCTGCCTATGTATTAAACATTCATGGAACCATTCAAGTTTAGGATTTGGTTTGCATCATCAGCAATGCACTTTACATCATGAGGAATTTAATTATGGGAGAAATTTTTCAGCGTGCCAAAAACATTATCTGGTATATCAAGTGTAATAATATAATTAGTTGGAATTTTTTTTTTCAAGTTTCTAACTCAATTGTCTTGTTACACTTGATATAACGAACTGTGTTCCTGACACATTGATAAATCTCTACACACCTGAGGGGCCTGAAGGCTAAAATCTATCCGTCTGAGTTTCCAGCGTGCCAAAAACATTATCTGGTATATCAAGTATAATAATATAATTAGTTGGATTTTTTTTCTTCAAGTTTCTAACTCAATTGTCTTGTTACACTTGGTATAACGGACTGTGTTCCTGACACATTGATAAATCTCTACACACATGAGGGGCCTAAAGGCTAAAATCTATCAGTATGAGTTTCTGTGCCAACCATGTCCCTTTTCTTAAGTATACTTAATCTTTAATTTTCTTGGGTTAGCCAATTTTGAGTCAAGGTTAACATGTTTTTGCACAAAATTAATTAAGAAAACACTCTAGTTGCGTAGTTATATTGTCAAATTATCGAATTTGATACTATACAATTATACAATCAAGTATATGTTACCGTTACTTATATTAAATTAACAGTGTAACAATATAACATAACAAAAATTTCCCTTCAATGCTAAACTCATGTTTGAAATTGTTATTGAATAACGAGGTACGCCCTGCAATAAACCTCACATACATTAATAATTGAAAATCGTTGAGACCCACTCCTCCATGTTACTATGTTGACAAAAGTCTACCATAAAATTCCATGATATTGATGCCCCCAATACGCTGTCGTTCAAGGTCCCTCCCAAAAGTCCCTCGTAACCGTTGAAAACCCTCTCTCGGCCTAGATATTCCTTTCAAACTGACCCACGCGCCCAATTTCCAACCGTTTAAACCCCACTCCCTCCCTCCTTCTCTCTCTCTCTCTCTCTAAACCTCCAAGAACTCTCTCTCTCTACATGTTCTCAATCATAATCTGCAAGTCCTCTGCTTTTGCAAAGAAAATCCAAAACCCATTAGTTTCCATCCATCTGAATTCGAAATCTCCGCCTCCATGGCTCCAAGAATGCTTCTTGTTTTCTGGGTCGTCGTCTTCTTCCTCATAGCCCTCTTCCTCCGCCGTGGCTCCGCTGAGAACGTCAACTTCTACTTCCCCTCTTTCAACTTCCGAAACCTTACCTTCCTCGGCGACTCTCACATCCGAAACGGCGTCGTTGGCCTCACCCGCGAGCTCACGGTCCCCTCCTCCAGCGCCGGCGCCGTCATATACAACAACCCAATTCGGTTCTTTGACCCGGAATCCAACATCACCGCTTCTTTCTCCACGAAGTTCACTTTCTCCATCGCCAACGTCAATCCGAGCTCTAACGGTGACGGCATGTCGTTCTTCCTCTCGCCGGACAACCGGATGCTCGGCAGCCCCGGCGGCTATCTGGGTCTCGTCAATTCCTCCCAAGTGACCAAGAACAAGTTCGTCGCCATCGAATTTGACACGAAGCTCGATTTGCACTTCAACGATCCGAATGACAATCATGTAGGATTCGACATCGAGAGCCTCAATTCGATTAAGACCGCTGATCCAATCTTGCAGGGTGTCGATTTGAAGAGCGGGGGTTCGATTACTACTTGGATTGATTACAAGAACGACCAAGAAAAACTTAAAGTGTATCTAAGCTACTCGAATTTCAAGCCCGAAAAGCCGGTTTTGAGCGTAGATATCGATCTCTCCGAGCATCTGAAGGAGGTTATGTTCGTGGGTTTTTCGGCCTCGACGGAAGGGAGCACGGAGAAGCATCTGGTTGCGAATTGGAGCTTTCATACATTCGGGTTCGTTGCAAAAAGGCCGAAGTTGCAGCCCCACAATGTGTCTGATACTTATGTGGTCGTCAGTCCGAGAATTCCAGTGTCCGGTTCGGGGGATAAGCACCACAAGCGGCTCGGCTTAGGACTTGGTATTGCTGGGCCGGCGTTCTTTTGCGTGGCGCTGTTGGTTTTCGGGTATGTTTCTGTGATGAAATGGATGGAGTTGAGAAGACAGAAGAGCTTCAAAGCAGAGGTTGTGGCAGGCCCGAGAGAGTTTAGTTTCAAGGAGCTGAAATCTGCCACAGGAGGGTTTCATTCCAGTAGGATTCTTGGGCATGGAGCTTTCGGGACTGTTTACAAGGCGTTTTTCGTGTCTTCCGGCACCATTTCTGCGGTGAAAAGATCCAAACATTCCCATGAAGGTAAAACTGAATTCCTTTCTGAGTTGTCAATTATTGCTTGCTTGCGCCACAAGAATTTAGTTCACCTTCAAGGCTGGTGTGTTGACAAGGGTGAATTGCTTCTTGTTTACGATTTCATGCCTAATGGGAGCCTCGAAAAGGCACTGTACCAAGAATCCGGACAAAGTACCTTGTTAGATTGGTCTCGGAGACTGAATGTTGCGGTTGGATTGGCGTCTGTTTTGACATATCTGCATCAGGAATGTGAGCAGCAGGTCATCCACAGGGACATAAAGACTGGCAATGTTTTGCTGGATGGGAATTCAAATGCGAGGCTCAGTGATTTCGGGTTGGCAAAGCTCATGGATCACGATAAAAGCCCTGTTTCCACACTGACAGCGGGAACAATGGGGTACCTTGCGCCTGAGTATCTTCAATATGGGAAAGCAACCGAAAAGACTGACACTTTTAGCTATGGTGTGGTGATCCTCGAAGTGGCATGTGGAAGGAGGCCAATAGAAAGAGAGCCGGGAAGTGAGAAGGCAGTGAATTTGGTTGATTGGGTTTGGGGGCTGCATTCCGAAGGGAGGATTATCGAGGCAGCTGACAAACGGTTGAATGGGGAGTTTAATGTGGAAGAAATGAGGAAGCTGCTACTTGTCGGGTTAAGCTGCGCTAACCCTGATAGCACGGAGAGGCCTACGATGAGGAGAGTTTTGCAGATTCTGAGTAACGAGGCAGATGTTCAAGCCATTCCAAGGGTGAAGCCGAGTCTGAGTTTCTCTAGCAGATTGCCTTTGTCACTTGATGACATTGTTTCAGATTGTGATGAGGAGGATTGCGGCAGCCCCACCAGCTCTCTGCGTGAGATCATCATTCACTGAAGATTATATGTAGATTGCAGATAGTTGAATTCTTTGAATCTTTTACTTTTTACAACTGCTTTTTTTTATCCTGTAGTTTGAAGATTAGAGACTGTAGAGTTCACCGGCCTGAGTTCAAAGCATTCTGTTGAACTGTGTGGTCTCTGCTTTGTCCAGGACAGAAAAAAGCTTCTTGCTTGAATATTTCAATTGTAATAGAAGATTTCTGACTGGTTTACGAGTTGAATGTTACACACGAACGATTTCTATACTTTTCGATCTTATTGTTCTTATACCATTCTGTTTCTGGGTAGACTGATTTAAACATTCCTAATTGTAACATACTGAGCAGTAGCTTGTGTGTAGAGTAATTCTTTTTGCACCCATAAATCTGTTCGGCACGTCCTCTCCCTCCCTCAGGCTGGAGTAGCCATGGCAAAGGGAGAGGAGAACTAGGAAGCATTCATAAGGTATGTGTGTGTGTATGAAAGAAGAGAACTTTAAAAGTCTGCTTTGCGAAAACTTGAGAATATTGTCGATCACATTTGAGCACATAATATACATCGAAAACAGATTCCTCTTCGTGATATGGAACGGTACAAACTCCGTATCCAAGTGATGTACAGATAAAAACTGTGTACAAGGCAAATGCAAATCTGAACATTCTGCAAGTAAGATTTCCATGCGGGTCAGATGGTCTGTCAATCACGGCATACACCATCAAGGAATTGAATTTTTCCACCATGCTTGTAGCTCCACTTCTTTATGATAGCTGCTGGCGCCTACCACGTTTCAGTGAAATGTCATTAGCCCCTTTTGCGATCTCCCTCACCGATCCTGGTTTCGGATCTTTGTTTTGCAATATGTTACAGGCCTTTCCTGTTCCCTTCGCATCGAGGATGAGCAAGGAGTATGGCACTTGACAAGCAGCCCTCAAAACAAAGTAGAAAACTGTATCATTCTATACAAGAAGTCATCGAAGCAGAAAAGAAAACTATGTCGATCACTAAGCTGTCACGGTTTACAACACCGATCAAGTTTCCGAATAACATTTGAATGTTGTACAAGTAGAAACCAAGATTAGTAGTAAACCAGCGTCGCTTATAAGTTGACCATAATAAATATTTGATCAAGAGCTGCAAAATAATTCGTAAAATTTATTCCTCCAAAAAAGAATTCGGCTGGTTAATTACCGCTGCTACAAGAATCATCTGCGTAAGAAATTTCCCCAGTTTTGCACACAAGTAATACTACACACACAAACACACAGGATCCACAAATTAAGTGATTTCCTTATTAGCTGTATATAATGTTGAACTATAAATTTGTATGTAACAATGTCCCTGGTGAGAGAATACCTTAATTACTTTGAGGCTATAGATCGACAGAGATCAGACAGTGCTGAGAGACGGGAATGTAGGAGATGATGACAGAAGAAAAGAGAGCACACTCCCAACAACGGAAAAGACTCTCTTTAGCCGATGGTGGGTTGTGCTCTCTCTCTTCTGTCAACATGATCTCTAACCTCATCCCCATCACATCCACCACCCTCGATGCCACAACTCATGCATTCATCCCTGCAGTGCAAGTTAGCCATCAGTTAATAGCCAGGCTTTAGATGTAATGAGATAATGCATTCATGATCATATAAATCTCATAAAATGTGTGCAAACGCATATAAGCATGTCTTCCCTGTTGAAAGATCAACACCAGCCCAAAGTCAGTAGCTTCTGTAGACTGCATTTTGGTCAGGTGCAGGAACTACAGATTTTTCTAGTTCAAACATGCAGAGATTTTGCTAGAGAACTCTAGCAAGCAATGGAAGTGGCCGGTGCATGCATATATGTAAACTATGCTAGACAATTCTAGCAAGATTATGGCGGTTTTTTATGTTAGGTCGACAGCTTCTAATAGCGTCTGTCTCTTTTAGTTTGCAATATTATGTGTGTGTTGTAATATTTATACAAGTAATTTATTTATTAATTGTGTTTCTCCAACTTTTTTTACTTTCCTCGTATCTTTCATAATTTTTGATAATTTTTATTCATTAATCTTTTTCAATAGATTGAATCTGACCGAAAATTGAGAATAAAAGTAAAAATAAATATGTGGTTAACACCCTTCAATTATAAAATAAATTCATATACTGATAAAAAATCTATAAAAATAATTTATTTATTTATTTCATCTCTTCAACACTCCAACACTTAAATATTAGAGTTGTGTACTGTAATTTTATCTACATGCCCTTCACATATGTATGAATATATATATTTCCATACTCACCATATTAAATATATGCATTTACATATCCCTTAATTCATTGTTAGAAGTATATCTTTTTTGTAACAGATAAATAATTAAACATAAGAACTTGCCTCAATAGCCAAAAGTTGACCACGATCTGGGATTATTTTAATCACCAAACCAATAAAGAGGTACTGACCATGAAACAAACTGATATCAATATCAACATCCATGACCACGATGAAGGGGTAATTTGTCATGAAATAAATATAATTTACCATGACATTTTAATCAAATCACAGGCTAAAAATAGAGAGAGAGAGAGAGAGAGAGAGAGAGAGAGAGAGAGTTTTACCCTAGGGTTCTTCAACTTTGGCTTCCATATAAAAGCTTGCTGATCAAATATGAACTTTCACTGCAGTCTGCAGAAACTACTGGTTTCTCTTATCCTTCCATGAAAAATTAAAAGGAAATGAAAAATAAATAAAGGAAGAAATAGCTAGAGGCAGAGACCAAGTCTTGAGAGTGAGATATACGTATAAGCCATAAATTCTACCTCAATGAGTTATGTAACGGTTGCTGAGATACGTAGCGTTCATCTTATAGGGACCTGGCCACTGGCTATAACCGGTGACTTGTACACTATACCGGCTAGGGAGGGCAGAATAGTAGTTTTATTTTTTTTGAACAAAAAATATTATCTACACTAAGAAGAAAGGGTTGGGCGAGCCCCTTAGCCTTACAATGGGCTAGCAATATTGTGGTTCAAATTCGTCTTTGGCGAAAATCGAATCTAAAATCTCTCACTTATAAGTGAAGAGACATACTACTAAACCGTAGTACTAAGTGGCAGGTAGAATAGTAGTTTTAAAGCATTGTTTTTACATCAGCCTCATGTAACAATTCTTTCAAACCTGATTAAATACTCTTCACTGTCAAGGACTCAAAGTCGTTGGACCATCCCAAGTGGATATGTCAAATACAAATTGTCAAAATTAAAAGTTCTTTCATTTTAAAGAGTGTTTTTAATTATTATTTTATTATATATTGTTCCACACTACTACAGTGTGTACGAGAAATATATATTTTTTTTGTCAAAAGATAAATTTGTTATATTAGATATTACATAGGGAGTCGATGCAGTTTGAAAACACGCATTGATATAAGAGCAACACTCATCTTCACCATTGTGATAAATGATCATTTGCGAAAAATACAATTTAAAATAGTTAAAAGTTGTAACATATTCTTAATTATGGACTTGACACTTTAAACAATAGAATTAATTTTATTTGTTGTTGAAAAGGACAACCATAAATCAAAAAGTCAAATGACTTGATTGCCAACTTGCCATGTCATTATTGCATCTCTTTAGTTGAAATTTTTTAATTTACTCGAAACCTGAAATAGACATTTGAAAAAAAAAATTCATTAATTGTATAATAACACATGACATAGCGTCCATTATTTCAGACTCATTGAAATATCTTTTTTTGAGAGAAACTTTTAATGTCTTAGTCCTAATTAACGTAATTAACAATAGCAACCTCACAAATGGGTAACCAAAACGGTAGGGAGGATGTTGACCGGCTACTTCGGGTCAGGTGGATCCAAAAAAGAAAGGATCTGACTTTGATTCTCTCACCTGACATCACCCGTGATAACCCGAAACCCTAAGCATTGTTTTCGTGACTGTGGAGAATATCTTGTCCGTTGAATTCTGACACGTGGAGGACATGCAGGGGTGGTAGGTTGTCTACTGGCTAAAGAATAATATACTATCTGAGGAATATGAGCACCTCTGATTGGTCAATTCTCAATAGGTCATTTTCTTGTAGCTAAAACTGGAACAGGTCTTATTCAAATTCAAAGTTTCAAACAACAAAATCTTATCTCACCGAGTGAAATTGCCCATATAAATTCTAAAACGTTAATGCACTCAGTTTTGCACCAAATCTTTTGTTAGCTCCATTACGTTCGTAACAGTATAATATAATCTTATCCAGCCAAGTACTAAGTTCGTACTAGCCTTACGTTCCAAACAACATTAAAGTCTTATCCCACTAAGTAGTGTCAGCTGTATGAATCTTAAGTGCAGTTCACGAGTCAATACAGAAGAAGAAATGGCTTTCTGATACAATTCCATTTTCTTCCTAATCTTAGGTTCCTAACAGTGTAATAAAATCTACAGATTGCTTCAAGCCAATGTCTCAATAAGAAGAACCTGTATGAATTAGTTTGAATCACTATGTCAGCAAAACCCCAAAGCCGGGCACTAATTAGTTCTCATTCGATCGCCTTCAGAAGCAATTAAAGTATCTATCATCTTGTATTGTGAGCGACGCCCACAGAACGGATCATTTTCTGCAGTGTCTGTGGTACTTCTTCTCAATTTTTCGGTCTTCGAAGCAGGATTCACTTCACTTTTTTCATCGAAGCTCTCCCGTTTTAGGGTCTCTGATGCTTCCTTGGATTCAACCAATTTAGTTTTCCATTTAATACCAACTGCCTCAGCCTGATCCGCAAAAAAGCCTTTTGCGCTGGGTGAACTGCAGATTTCCTTGTAAGTTTCATAGTTAGCAGCTCGGGTGCTTCCACCTTCCAAAAGTCCCGCGAGGGGATGCAAAACTGAGACTGGACCATCACTTCTCTCTAATGTTTCCTTCAAAGCCAGAAATTCAGACACAAATTTTTCCTTGCTAAACTGAACGAATACCGCAGTTTCATCCAAGTGGAAGACAGACGTAACAGAGGTTGGGCCAAAGACTTTTGAAATGCACTCCCTGATGTCTCGTGCCTTGAGTTTTGATGGGAATCCCCAGATTAAAGCAATGTTCTCAGACATAATCTGCGAGTACCTCTTTTTGTGGTTGTTGGACCCCGAAGACATTGCATTCTTCTTACCAGTGGTTAAATCAATAATGTCTCCATTACTCCAACTGAGGTATAGATGGTTGATCTGCTTCTGGAGCTTCTCGTTGTGGGCCAACTTTTCAGATGACGAACAGGCCTGAAAATCAATTCCGAGATGACTGCATGTCTGAGCAAAGACGCAGCCTGTCATAAAAGCATCATATCCCGCTTCATGTTTGGCTCCAGAACTCCAGTTGGAGGACCTGCAAATAGATACTCTTAATATGAAAAAAAACTTAATTCCTTCACCTTTCCTTTCATTTGTATATTAAACAGACATTTTTAGTTACATTACTTAAATTATCTTTCTACATATGTAATAGTTTCTATAAGAGAGATCCATACGGTATGCACAAGTATATACATCTCGTAAGACAAGTAGAAATAGAAACAAATGGGCAAACTTTTATGAACTTGTTCTCCAACAGATTTCTAAAGTTGGTTGCATCTAAAGAATGTCATGCATAATTAACCCCGGTCAACAAATGTCATGCTAGCCTAGTTGTATTCAGACAGATCTCTAAACGGCCTATGCCATTGATGAAAGTTAATTGAAATGTTCTCCTTCATCTGTTGGGTTTCCACTATATCCTTTTTGTCATTTGAAATGTGACAATAGAACCATTGGGACCAATTAAATGAATAAAGCACGACTGAGATATCATTATGGATAGGGAATGGAAGAAGCAAACCTCAAATCATCCACCTGAACTTCAACGTTGACACACATTTGGACTTCCGAATCAGTGCTTTTCTTCCCAAGAGCAATTTGTAGGCATAACAAAGCAAATGCTGATGAAAGTGATGTTCGGGATTTCTTCATCCGTTGTTGGAGCACATCATCCGTGTTCAATAGTACTTTGGTGTCAATGACGTGTGGAAAGTACTTGTTAACAGTTGAGACAAATTCTTCAGCAGTCGAAGGAAGAGGGCCCAGGAATTTGCTGTATACATGGGCAATATCTGCATGACAAGAAGAACATATTAGTCATAAAATCAAATTGACCTTCATTTGAGTCTCCCTGAAACTGGAATCCTCCCTTACTGCTTCTTAACAAACCATCACGCCATTCAGTGAATGAGTTCTTCATCCGTTCAGCGAAGAGAGTGTCAGCCATCTTGACCACTGGCAGGTGCGTATGTTCCTTCAAGTTTGAACTGTAAGATTAATAAATGCGGAATAAGTAAATCACAATACCAAATAATTAACCACTAACCTTTGACGCCATTGCTGCAATGAACTAAGGATTCTTCTACTCTCAACACAGACCGAATGCACTGCTACAATCAATGGGGCTTGATATCTTTTTGTGCGTAATTCGTGTGAGAGCAGGGGACCCCTATTATATATCCTAAATGGTGGTGTTTGATAAGGATACTTCCCATCATGTAATCCTTATCAAACTATCAAACCGATAACCCTTATCACCACAAAACCATACTATTCATATCAGTATAGATATATCTACTTATATCAGAATTACTTTAGCTATATATCAGTCCACATACATTCCTTGATAGCTTACAAGTATAGTCAATCCTAATCTCTTATGATCTCAAACCCTTAAGCACGTGTCAAACAAGTGAGCAGCTCTAACAAAGCTTACATTCTCCCACTAGAGCCAACACTTGTTTATCACAGTACCACCTAATAAGAAATCATACTTGAATGGCCATGAGAATAAGATTAACAAAACCCTGATAACAAGTTTCTGTCATAAGTTAGTATTCATGAAGAACTAAAGGGAAGTCATGCTCCAATATATAAACATTATCCCCAAAATTACTGTCATGAAACCATCAAACACATGAAACTCCATCAAGACATGAAAAATAATACAAGATGCAAATATGAATGCTTCTTTAATGCACTTGCATTATGGTCCTCCCTCAAGACCAGTAAACTAGTCCACTTTATTGTCTCGTACTGAGACCCTTAAGTTGCTTTTTTTTGTTACACAACAATTCAAACAAATTGTCATCCAAAATACACTTTCATAATGTATCTGTATCATAACTATAACACTGCAATTTATGGGAAACCTTTGCAACTAGCAGCGTATTACTTTATTAGTTAAGATGATCTTAACATAAATACTTTAATGCATATTCCAAAAATACCTGAATCAACCAATGTCCAAGAACAAATGTCTTAAACATGATCTAAACTCCCACTGTTCTGCAGTACCAAAAACTTCCAGCACTTCCATCTTCCTTGTATGTTTCTTGAATATTGCCTTTGCAATGGCCTTGTTCAACGGATATGCTATCATAGAACCTGTCCCCAAATAATTAATTTTAACCAAACCAATCATCACCTTTTCACGAGCAACAAAAAACTTAATCTCCGGGTTCCTTGTAGTATTGTATCTCTTATTGTTCTTTGTGAAGAAAATCATTGCACTATTATCACAGTAAAGCTGAATGAGTCTTGAGATTGAGTCAACAATACGAAGACCAATGATAAAATTCTTGAACCAAACTACCTAATTCACAATTTCACAGCAAGACAAGTACTCAACCTCGAAGAATGCAATGAGGTCTTGCTTGGCACTCCTTTAAGAAACAGCTCCATTAGCCATCATAAACGCATAGCTTGAAGTTGATTTCAAATCATCTGGGTAATCAGGGAAGTCTGCGTCATTTGTATCCTTCTAAGACCAAGTTTTCAGTCTTCTTATAAACCAGCATATGAGACTTAGTTTTCTACAGGCACCTTAGAACTCTTTTCCTAGCATTCCAATGTGCTTCTCCTGCATCAGAATGGAATCTCCCTAAAAACCTAATGGTAAAAGAAAGGTTTGGCTTAGTACAAACCTGAGCATTCATTAAGCTCCTTACTAATGAGGCGTAATGACTATCCTTCATCATTTCCTTTTCCAAATTATTTCTAAGACATTGCTCCTTGCTTAGCTTAGCACTCTTCGATATAGGCATTTCAGTTGTGCCGCATGCTGACATGTTGAATCTATTTAAAACTTTCTCAATGTAACTTCTTTTTGACAACCCTAACAATCCCTTTTTTTTTCTTTTTTTTTCTTCTTTCTCTTTTAATCTCGATGCCGATCACCTAAATCTTTCATCTCAAACATGAAAGACTTGGTATCATCTAAGAAAATCAAACTATTTGTTGCCAACAATATGTCATAAACATTGAGTACCAGAATAATGAAGTTGCGCCCACTGACTTCCAAGTAAATGTAGGCATCATAAGGGTTTCCACAAGGCCATGATCCTTAACAACACGATGGAACTTTAAATACCACTGTCTCGACGCCTGTTTTAAACCATAGATTGGTTTTTTTTTTTTTTTTTTCAATCTAATTGCTCTCTCCCTTTCTCCTTCAAACTCTCTGGTTGTCGTGTGTGTATATACTTTCCTCCAAATCATCATTTAAGAAAGTCGTTTTTACATCCATTTGATGCAAAACAAGTCAAAATGTGCCACCATCGCCATGATTACTCTGAATGCATCTTTTGTTGGTACTGGACTAGAAGTTTCTTTATAATTGGTACCTTCTCTTTGAATGAATCCCTTGGCCATCAATCTGACCTTATGTCTCTTTATATTTCCCTTTGAGTCTTTCTTGGTCTTAAACACCCGTTTAAGACCTTTCGGTTTCATGCCTTCTCTTGGTTCCACTAGTTCCCATACTTTTTTTTTTCTTCCATTGATGACATTCAGACTTCATAGCTTCTAATTGTTTGCTTGCTTTTGGACTCGAGATGGCTTGTTTGAAAGTCCCAGGATCTTCGAACTCTGATAAATTAAAATCTGGCCTTGCCAAATACACAAAATCTGATGAGATTGTTGACTTTCTTACCCTATTTGATTTCCTCAAAAGCAGTGGAGCATCATCTACTGCCAAAACTGGTGAGTTTAGTCGGTGGTTGCTTCCATTGTCAGTGCTTCCTCCATGTGTGCTTCCTGATTTCCTGCATGTTGTTCATCATTCAACAACACCCCAATTTCAGTGCCATACTCCAGTCGGTGGTTATTGCCACTTGGAGCTGCCACCTCCACGTAATCTCCATGATCATCATTTTGTTGCTCACCATGCAACAACACATTAGTTTGCTGCTCACCATGCAATAATTCATTAGTTTCAGTGCCATGCCCAAAATTACAATCATCATTACCTCCACTTAATTTCTTCCATTTGATTTGGAAGTTGAACCAAAGCTGCTGCAGTCAGTGAATGTTTAAATCATTCCCCATTTGACCATCTTCTTCAAATATAAAATTGTCAGTTCTTGTGCTTACATGATCGTCCATCTCTAACTCCATAAACAACTGGTAGATTGGTCCTATAATCATACTCCTTACCATGTCCATTAGGGTTCTAATTCTTCTCTAAGCCACTTCATTTTGCTCCGGTGTATCAGGGATGGTATATTGAGCTACAATTCCATGTTCTTGTAAAAATAAAGCAAAAGGCCTAGGGTATCTGCCACAGTTTGTGTGTATCTTCCATAGTATAAATCTTGAAAACTTCTAAGGCTTTTGATTTTTCAGAAATCAAATAAATGTAACAGTAGTCTTAAAATCATCTATGAAAATTATGAAATTTTTATTTTCTTCAATTATTTGTGTGGAAAAAGGACCACAAATATCTTTATTGATTATTTCTAAACGTTGTTTGCTCTTCCTTGAACCCTCTTTTCTTTTGTTTGTCATTTTTCTCTTGACACAATCAAAACTCAAAATCGTTGAAGCCTTTATTATTCAAAGAAAATAAAAAACTAGCAAAACCAACTTTGAAATGAAACTAATTTCATTCTAATATAAGGTACATAAACCATGTTATCAAGTTCTAAACAAAAACTAAAATCTATTTTATCCTAGTAGTTTCTATTGCCATGACTTCAACTCTTTCATTGCCAAATGAGATTTTTGACTTCATCCTTATTTGGTGTTCTCTTTATTATGAAGTCCTGCAATGAATTGTTACATGAATAGAAGAGCCAAAGCCAAGCCACCAAGCATTGGTAGGCATATCAGTTAAATTTGATTCAAAACAAACAAAAAAAAAAAAATTGATTTTTTATTTTTTTTATTTTTTTAAAATTTTTTTTTATTTGCCTCCTGTTTTGCAAGCCATGCACTGTACTTGGGACAATTTCTCTTCATATGGCCTGCCTTTTGGCAAAATAACATTTGCAAACGGTAAAATTGTTAAGTTTGAAAGTCCTAGACCTGGGAGTATTTCTAGCATTTTCTTTCCTGGCACCCTTGACCTGTTGCTTTTGGTATGACCTTGAATATAGTTAAAATACTCATCCTTTTCAATTCTCTCCTTTTAATTCTCACTTCCTCCCCAACACAAAAAAAAAAATTAACTCATTCACATCCCATTTGGCTTTGGTTTGCAAAGCATTGTAAGAAACTTTCAAATGAGTATAGGATTCTGGGATTGAATTCATGTTTACATGCACCAAAAAGGTTTCAGAAATTGGTACCTCAAGATTTCTGAATTTCCAAGCAATGTTGATGACTCTGAGAATATATTGGCGCACACTTCCTTCACCATCATACCTGATTAGTGAGTGAATTCATGAGGTTGCCAGTTTCAGTTTTCTCGGACTCTTTGTACTTTTCCTCAATAGATTTCATGAACTCTTTTGCATTCGTTGCCTCTGGGAATTCTCCACGAACAACAGCAGGCATTGTTCGTTGATTATCATCAGCAAGATTCGATTCGATTTTTGCCACTTTTCATACTTTGATCTTTGGCTGGAAGTGCTTCCATTGACAGTTAGCGGGGTTCCTCAATTCTCAATGCTAAATCCATATCCATGACACCCAGAACGATTTCCAAGTCTTGTTTCCTTTTCTTATAGTTGACGCCAGTGATGATTCAACAGTGTTGAGGTTATGGAACTAGGGTTCATGGCCGCAACTTGAAAAGTATTACTCTTTAATCCCCTTTCTTTATATCATAGACTCAAAAACCTTTGGATTAATGAGTTATATGAAGATTTTTCTTTAATCATGGCACCTTCACAGCCAACATACGTTTTTCTGTAGTCATTGTTACAACCCTTTGTGGATTGCAAGAAGTAACTGTGTTCATACCTTGGATTGTAAAGTGCCATGCCACTTGAGATCAAAACATAGACTACTGAACATCTTTAGATGATCAGTGACGATGCTTCAATCCCAATGCCAATACTAATTTCGTATTCTTAATGAGAATCATACATATTGCACAGATAGCTTTAGCTATCATATGCATACACATGTTCTCCCTGTATAATACGTAATTAGTCTTTAACCTGATTATTTAAAAAAACAAATCTTTATGCTTTCCTCTTAGGGTTAATTGGTATGTGAAAGCTCTGATACCAAATGTAAGATTAATAAATGCGGAATAAGTAAATCACAATACCAAATAATTAACCACTAACCTTTGACGCCATTGCTGCAATGAACTAAGGATTCTTCTACTCTCAACACAGACCGAATGCACTGCTACAATCAATGGGGCTTGATATCTTTTTGTGCGTAATTCGTGTGAGAGCAGGGGACCCCTATTATATATCCTAAATGGTGGTGTTTGATAAGGATACTTCCCATCATGTAATCCTTATCAAACTATCAAACCGATAACCCTTATCACCACAAAACCATACTATTCATATCAGTATAGATATATCTACTTATATCAGAATTACTTTAGCTATATATCAGTCCACATACATTCCTTGATAGCTTACAAGTATAGTCAATCCTAATCTCTTATGATCTCAAACCCCTAAGCACGTGTCAAACAAGTGAGCAGCTCTAACAAAGCTTACATGAACATCTAGCCAATAACTCATCATCATATGCCAAACTCAAACGTCTCAGCGCCTCACTTTCCTGCTCTCTGGATAAATAAGATATTCCTGAGATAATACAACAGTTTAACTTTACAACTGAAAGCATCATAAAAAAAAGCTAGATGAAGTAACATTCCCACCATTTACGAAATCTCAACCATTAATTCAAAAAGCAACCAAACAAATGCACTACCTTCATGTATGCACACATTAAAATCAAACTGGTATTTAGCTAAGAAATCGATCGATGTAGTCTGGCAGAGAAACTCAAATGCTGGGCCTGCAAGCGGAAGCTCTTGACGAGGAAAAATGTAGAAATTGTGCCTGTCAGCACACCCATATTTTTACACGATAAAAACCATATAAAAAGTTCAAAACGAAACGCCGTAGTGACACAAACTTATTCAATCTCAGAAATTGTGCGCCTTTGCATTAGCTTCAAACTGTCCTAGCCAGCAAACACATGTATATTATAACTTATAAACCCGGGAAAGTAAGCAATTTTAAGCAAAGAAAATCTTCATTTTTCTTTTTTAAAGTTCAATTTTACCTACATTTATCAGAAAAATCCAGAAATAGAGCTTTTCATTCCAAATGCCAAGATCAAAGCAAAAGACTCAAACTTTACATTTTCTTCTCATCCAAAATTTCTCAGCAACCAAACACGTAAGTGTAACAAAAGCAAATTGCAATGTCCCATTAGCAAGAAAATCATGTCAATCCCTAACTTCTGTTATTTTCTTTCTTCAACTTTCTAGGCAGCCAAACAGTACACAAACTAAAAACAGAAATAAAAAAGCAAAGGCACGTACGGATGAGCAATGAAGGAGCGCTTGGAGGAGTCCCATCGGAATGGGCAAACGCCGAGCTGAAGCACGGCGAACTTCTCGGCCGAGTCCTTGACCTTGAGGTAGCAAACGTCTGCGCGGTCGAACTCCAGACAGTCGCGCCACGGCGCGATGGTGATTCCGGTCATCTCGAGATCGATGGCCACGAAGTCTGCGGCGGCAACATGGCGGCGCAGGTCGGCCAGAGCAGGCTCGAAGTTCGATTTGGTCACGTTTTTCAGAGGAAAGGTGGAGGATTGCTGTTGTAATGACGACGAGGAGAAGGAGGAGTGGGATATGGCACGTGATATCGCACGTGACAGCGCCCTCGCCGGGCGGTGAGTGTTCATTGTCTGAGCTTTAGCCTGAGCTTTCGGCCTTCGGGGTTTTCGGCACAAGGTAGATGATGAAATGATACCGCTTACGGCGTCGTTTCTGCAAGTTGAATCGGGTCGGGTAAGCCCAACTTGAAAGCTATAAGTTTTCTTTTTCCATCTCAGAAAATGATTTCTACACACCATTTTCTATTTTTTCGCATCTTCATTCAAAATATTGTATATTTTATGTACTTTTGTTTTCTTTTGTCTGTAATTAGAAATGAATTCTTTATTTTAATTTGGATTACAAATATGTAAACATGTTACAAAGATTGTGTTTTGTCAGAATCGTGTTGTTTTGAGTTCAAGAACAAGAATCATCCTCCACAACGGAATTTGATGAACTATAAATAATTATCATTGTCAACATTATAAGTTATAACTACAAGAAAATTGTGTTTTTTCCAAATTTGGTAACCATGTAACATTGTTACCAACAACAACAATCAAGACTTATCCACTAAGTAGAGTTGGCTGTATGAATCCATCCTAGAACGCCACTACGCTCGGTTTTGCGTCATGCATCACATGTTTAGATTCGCATAAACATTCTTCAATCACCAGCACAGAAACTATGACTTCATTCTCTCTTAAGCATATCAGAACGTTTTCCGCCATGCAAATAACCTATCCGGCGAGTTCAGTTCCCACTGAAACAAAATTGTACCCTCCCAATCGCAACCCGCGAAAAATGTAAAACTTGTTTCAACATATTTCCAGAACCTGACTCCAGTTCAGAAAACAAAGAACTCGAACTGAATTCGCAGGAGTTCTAGCTCCGAAGAAATTCTTTCAAATGAACCTGCAAAGATTTACGCAGTTGCTGGCTTCATTGGAGGGGACTTCCAGATGCACTAGCCAATTAAAACTAAAAGAATGCTCTACTTACATTTATAAAGCTTGAGTTAAACGAGCAGCGAATGCCCCATCGAGGGAATGCTTTACAGGGTTGGAGAAATAGAAACCCTGTTCTGTTACAAATTCAGGTGGAACGTATCTGCCAACGGGATCTATTTGAAATTCCTGAAAGACCAGAAATAATATCGAAATCAAAGATAAGATAGATGCAGACGAACTCAATTTAATTCGGTAGATAACACCACACACGCACTGATCTACAGTTTCACCAAGTAGAGCTAAAGACCTGCAGAACTTTGGATTTCGTTTTTCTAAAGAACGTGATATTAACGTTTTAACAACTCATTTATTTCCTACTTGGTAATGTGCAAGCACCGGATTTTGTAGACCGGAGCTCAAAACATAATATGCAGATAAGTTCAACAGTTCCCATTTGCAATTTAAAAACATGAGACGGTCCCTTCTTTCTGGTAAGCAAAAACTATTAAGCAGTTACTTACCATCGAAAGAGCATGTACCGAAAAACAAAATGGAATAAAGCGTTAAATAAAATTAAGGGTAGTCGACTCTTTACCGGATGCCTGAGAAGAAATGCAGCTATCCTCTCTTCATTCTCTTCAGGATCTATAGAGCAGGTACTGTATACCAAAACACCACCAGGCTTGACCAATCTGTAAATGCAAGTTAAGGTCAGACTTGTAGTAAAATTAATGGGAAAATACAGTTGACCAATGAATTTCTCTTCCTGGAAAAAAATTTCATGTTGTCAAAAAAGAAAGAGAGCGAGAGTGGTGTTTTGGTATTACAGAGAAGCTGCATCGAGAAGCTCATCCTGCAAACTTTTCAGCTGCTCCATATCCTCTAATTTCCTGTTCCAACGCAAGTCTGCTCTCTTCAAAAGTTAAAAGAAAAATAGCATCAAATAACATAACGATTTTTCAGAAACAAATAAAAGCAACACATGTCATCTTATACAATCACCTTCGAGAGAACACCCAGTCCAGAACATGGAGCATCCAACAGAACTTTATCACACTTCGTACTATTGTTATCCTGGAGAAAATGATGATGAACACATAAGAAATTTTTGTGTCCCGAATAACAATGTTGTACAGGTTTGATGACTTACAGAAAAAGTACGGATATCCGAATGCACATTGGTGATCACACCATCTACTTGGTGCAACTTAGCCGTCTCTTTGAGGATTCTCAACCGGCCTTCATTTATGTCAACTGCATATACCACACCTGAAACCCAATGGTAAATCTCTCCCGTTATTTATGGTTTCACAAAATTGACGATAAAAGAAGATTAGAGGGTCTAACATCATCATCACTTCGTCCAATTTATCTGTACAATAATAAGACTTCTATCTATTCTTACACAAATATAGAATCCGAGATAACGTATACCTTGGCCACTCAAAAGGGATGCCATGTAAAGCGTCTTTCCTCCAGGAGCAGCACAACAATCAATAATGCTTTCACCCGGTTGAGGATCTACAACTGAAACTACTAGACCTGCAACAAGATTGCACTACACAATTTGAGGAGATGCTAAAATAAAGGTCTAAATTTAAAGTGGAAAACTAGATCGAGTTTTCGTATGCTGAGTACAGGAAAAACAGAGTCAAGCTCTAGCGGAATGTTTCAATTTTCGTAGGCATACATGAAAGCATGGACAAATGTGATTTTACAAAAACATCATCTGATAGGCATCTGGCACGTGAATAGAAAATAGAAACGATATCATACTAACTAAAATCAAAGAGGAATTTGACCTGCACTTTCATCCTGAACTGAACATAAACCTTCTTTCAATAGACCCGCTTGTATGACCAACTGAATCAACAAAATTTAGGTAGTTAAGGACCTTTTCCAGTTCTCTAACGAGTACAGAATAGCCCACATCGAATGTTCATAAAACTAGGTCAAGACATCTATATTCACATTTTAATTTGTTTTAAGAAAAATCGAAACTACAAAATGACATCTCACATCAGTATTTTCTGTAGAATTAGAAAATATAGAAAGAATAGGATGGTACTCCATACATAAACAATGGGCTCATAGAAATGAACTACATGGTTAACTTATACCTGCAACCCTGTTTTCATACGGACAAAATCATTCAAATGCGAAGAGAGCTCATGCGAAACCTGAAGTTCAAGAAAAGAAATCAATAAACTGAGCAAGTAGACATAATGATAGAGGCTTGGCCCATTGAATATAGGAAGTCTACATTTTAAAGAAACAACGACGTTGCCAAATTAAAAACTGAAAAGACTAATCAACCACCTTTAAGACATTAAGCTTGGTCACAAGGTCAGCTCTTGAGACACCTTTCCCGCTGTTTGCCCTGACAGTAGCACCAGAAAAAAGTAAACAAGATATTCATGTTCTATACTAGAAGGATAACAAAAAGGAAAGACACTTGAAACCTTAAGCTGAAACTAGGATCACTGTTATTCCACATCATCAATCTAATTGCTTCTTCTTGTCCAAGATGCTTTGTCCATCGCCTCACCATCCACTAAAAATTTGAAATTACTTTTAATAAGGAAGGGGGAAAGATGAAAGTAAAGTATCAAGGCCAGGCATACGAGGTTTTGTTACTCGAGTTTTGATTCCTCCAGAGGTAGAAATGTTAAAATTTCATGGAAATCTAAAATTACTTAGCAGTATTGAATGCTTAGGAGTGGATTGTGGTGGTAAAACATCTGTTATCGACAATAGTTCGTCAAATCAATAGATGTTAGCTCAATTGTTTTAGCTCCATGGGGGTCCCAGATTATCCTATCCCAGTATTCAACAAAAGTATGAACATCATTACAATTATAATCTTACAACAGGATGAGAGTGCAAAGTGGCAAGAGCACGTGCTTGCGCGCGGTCATCGCCCTCCAATTTGGGTAGAGGAAGAGAATCGGTTTCCTGCAAACCCATATTTGAAAACATTAGACGAATACCTCAGTATAATTATATGATTATAACATAAAAATAAAAAAATGGCATACCATGAGAAGAACAAGCTTCCGGAGAATCGCATTAACCAAGTTGCCAGCACCATGTCTAAGGGCAACTTTTGCAAGCCTCACATTCTGCAGTTTATGGAACAAATATGGCATTTAGAAAAATAACTCAATTACACAAAATGTTGAAAATGTTTATAGGAAACTACTACAAAAAATTTTGAACATCCAAAATATCTGAACCTAGTTGTGATGAATACTACATCATTGGCAGGCCAAAATCAGAATGGTCAGATCGAGTCTTTTAGAAAACTCTCCAGCTTACCACAGATGGTTGAGGTAAAATAGGATAAATTAAAAAGCGAGAAATTTTACCTCATCTACAACAGCATATGGTGGCATATCCAGCTTAACAATCTCATAGAAACCAATTCGAAGAATCTGCACAGGTTGAGAGCACTAAACTTAGCTACTTGGTCGCAAGGAAAGTAAAGTCACAGTCACAATTTCCAACCATTTAAAGTAACTAGATAATTAATTGCAATTCCTATTGCTGCAGTTCTAACCATTGATGCAATTGCAAATATGTCCATCCATCATTGAACTGCATCAAACTATCCACATAACTGAAAGACATTCCAATGGACCTACATAGGATATGTCTTCCAACGCATTGCGGCAGGTGCAAGAGATACTAGATATTTAAATAAAAGAATGGGACTTAACGGTTGAAAGTTAAATTGGGGCAGGTGCAAAATAGCATGTAATAAACATGTGAGAATAAAATACCTGTAAAAGAAGTGGTTCCATCCTAGCAAATGTGTTTCCATCATTGCACAGTGAACTTATCAAATGATCAAGATATCTCTTCCAACGGATAGTGCCGCCAACAATATCAGTGACCTATAAAGTTGAAATTAATAGCAAATGCCAACACAAAAGAGAGAAATATTCAGCTAAGAATTCAGTCCAAGATAACTTCCAACAAACAAGACAGTAGGAACTAGGAAGAGAGAGATAACCAGTCTAAGATCACGATCCTCTAAATCCCGTGTACGAAACCCAAGAGTTCTTCCAACATATCCCATCTCATTTTCACCAGAACCTTTCCCTTTCTCATTGAGAAGATCAGCAAAAGCACCTCCCATCTCTATTCTCATCAATCTCACCGCCGAAACTGAGCAAGCAAAAACAACCCACATTACGAATTAACATTTACAAGAAAATGCAGCTCCTGTCTTCCTCTTGTGTGAAAATTTAATCACAGTAAAAGTAAAACCAGCCACTAATGCACATAAAGCAAACATCATAACCAAACTTACCAGCTCTGTGAGGAGAAACCTCCAAATTCACCTTCTGGATTTTGTGTGAGGGATTGAAACTACCTACAGAATCACACAACTTTTAGTGACAGTAACAAGTAACTCACTCCAGCATCAATTTGGAACCAAATTCACACTCCCAACTAAATTTACACACTCCCAACACAGGAGTTCACTAATTTTCCAACAAAGATTACAACTTTTTCAGCGACCAAACTTACACACTCCCAAACTGTTTTGTCACTAATTTACCAATAAAGATTACAACATTTTTTAGTGACAGTAAAATTGGAAGAAAATTCGGACTCATGCTAAAATTACGCACTCCCAAACTGTCTTTTTTCACCAAAGACTGCGAATTTTTTATGCCAAAGAAGCTCCAAAAATGTAGGCCCTGTCGTCTGAACCAGAATTCCATATGATTATCCAGAAAATTTATTTTCTGAACATTTTCTAGGGAAACAAACAGAAAGTTTCACCTTTTCTAGGAGTAGAAACGGATGTTTTTGTTCTCTTATCAAACTTGAGTGACTTGGGGGAAGAAGGAAGAAGAAGAAGAAGAAGGTCTGTTGGTGTCCGCAGAGAGAAGCAGGCGGAGAGAGAGTACGAGCGCCATAGTTGATTGGTGCTGTCTGCTGAGTCGCACTGTTTCCCTCTCCTGTAAAGCAACTGGATAAAATTTGATTTGTTCGAAACAAAAAATGAACTTAATTTAGTTCCACTTCCGCCTCTCTACTCCCTATACTCTGTTAGTTCTTCCCCTAATAATTTAGGAGAATGTTATTCTAACATTTATTTTTACAACTCGCGCACTTTTATTGATTTTTTGTCATTCATTTTTTTTCAATTTATTCGATTCAACGATTGAAAATTAAAATGAGCGTAAGAAGTGAAATGGGTATGTGAATAACACTACCATCTTTTTATTTATACAACAAGTCGTAATCGAAATCGTACATTTTTTTGTCATCTTCTAAAAATCATCTTTAAATAAAATCACTATATTTATAGAGACAATTTAGTTACCTATATGTGTCGAATATATTGACAATTATAGTAACAAGTAGAATGCTCATGGTGACCCATCAAATTTTTTATTTATATGAATGACTAAATGGTCTTAAGATAAAATGACGTTACATTAGTGAAAAATAAGAATTTTCCTCGAAACGTAGAATGAGAGAAGTATTATCCATCTTTAAAGACATTACCTTTTGCCAAATTTGTTTATTATCTTGTTATATTGTGAGTTAGAAAAAAAAAAGGTGACTAATAAAAAATAAATTCAACAATTTGGTGTAAAGTGACCCAATTTTTTAAATTGGAAAGCTCAAAATCAAATTGAAAGTTGATAGCAATTTGGAACAGGGTACCGAGTCTAAGAGAGAGGTTTACATAAATTGAAGATGTTAAAGTTACAGTATTTCAAATCAATCACGTGATATTGCATGAAAAAATAAAGTAAAAACATGTTTGGACCCATTTTATTTATTGACACACGATCTAAGTAAGACTTACATGTTGGCCTATTAAAAATTGTGTCAACAAATGAATTGATTCTGTATGTTAAAACATTGCTTTATTCCATTACGGATACAAGTAAGCCAAAAACAAGGCAGTGCTTGAGCAAGTCCATAGCAAATGTTTAGAGGTTCATATATATTATATGTGATAGGAATAACCTACTTTAATGACATTACCCTTTTTCCGTTCTCACTTTTTTCATTGTTATGAACGGTGAATTTTTACTCACTATTCTATTTATTATCATTGTATAAGTTTAAATTTTGAGATTTGTATTTATCCGTTATAAAAGTCTTGAAATTTAAACTCATCTAACAATATTAAATAGAGTGATGAGTATCACCATTACTTGAGGATCGTGAGCAAAAATATTTCCTATGACGAAGGGGAAAAGATGTTTTGGGAATTTCTTTCCTCAAAGTTAAAAAGAAACTTGTGGTTTGGTTGTGAAAAACTATACATAAATTCTTTTAAGGCCAACTATTTTTGTTAATGTATTTCTATCATTGCGTAATTTCTCATGAAAATACCCTCATAATTAAGTGGTACAGCACCTATTCTTAATCTGCCATCTTGTGTTTAGTTTCCTTGTGCTTTGATAAAAACTCAGTAATTCATTAAGTGATATTTTACACTGATATACTGCAAAGGGAAAACAGTTCGAACTCGAAACATAATGGGTTAAAAGATTAAATCTTTACCACTAAATCCATCACCACTTGCAGCAGTAATTCATTAGTAGTATCAATATTTTTGTAACCTATACATGAGAAATGCTAAGGGGGAACTTTCTCAAAGTGGCACTCTCTACGGATTCCTTGTCATCTCACAATTTAACGTTAATTTTCAAACTAACATTATAAAATATTGTGCAAAAAACTTGAGGCGACAAAGAATTTATGAAAAAGTATACTTATAAGATAATCTCTTTTACTATATCTCATCTATACATATACTCAAATTCAACCCCTTCTGTCTGTAATTGGTCATCATTCAACAAAGCCCCACACGAAAACCCTCCAAATGTCACCACTTACCAAGTCCAAATTTTGTCCATGTTTCCAAGTTTACTTGTTTTCCTTCACCGAAATGCAAAAAAAGAGAGCATATTTTCTGATAAAAAAAAAAAGCATATTTGTTTTCAATGTTTTGGTTGGTCTTGGAATAAAGTTGTCAACCTCCAAAGTCCAAAGCTCTTTTACTTCGGTATTAAGAAAGTCCCATTAAGGGAAGAGATATTTATGAAATACAGATACATCAGTATATCTCATTCTACAAGTAAATCGACATTCAAAGAGAAGAATAAAAATCTCTCTACTTGTGTAATAACATATGACGTACTGCAACGCGTTATGAACATTAGACCGAAACATGCACCTACACAGTACTAATCACTCTACTACACACCAACCTCCGATTTTACCAAGGAAACACAACTTTTCTTTTCTTCCCGGTACATAGGACGTATGATAACCTATTTTCACCAATGCAAAACTTGATTGACACCATATATTTATATGAATAGGATTGAAGGCAAATATTATAAGGTTCACTTCGTATTATTTTTCCATGATTCAACTGTTTATAATTTATTTGTTCGGTTGATAATAAGTAAGATATCTAACAAGCTGAACAAAATCACAATTATACTTTTTGAACATGGAACAAGTTTCCAACAATAAAAAATGTCAAGCAAGTTAAATAATAGAGACGTTAGACTAATTTTCTAGAGTACCGTGCTGCTTTGTCGCATCTAATTCAAATTATCTTATTCATAATAGAAAAACTTTCATAATACAGATATGCGTTATGTCAGTTATCTATGATATCGTGCCTATTTGTCGCCACTAATTCAAATTATCTTAGTTGTGTGTGGATTTCATAATAAAGAAGTGCGTTAGGCCAATTATTTAGAGTATTGTACTTTCATAATAGAGGCGTGTGTTTAGTCATTTATCTACATTATTGTGTTTCTTTGTCATATCCAATTCAAATTATCTTACTCATAATAGGATGAGAGCTTTCATGACACAAGTACATTATCACCTTGACGTCCCATATTAATGATATAGTATAATCAGCTGAGGTAACTTGATATCGTAAATGGGGAGCGAGATATAGTATATTTAATTTTTCATTTTCTCCTTTTATTTTTCTATACAAAAATGTATTTTATTTTTATCTCCTTTTGGCTTTTATATTTTCCAAAATTTTCTGTAATTTCCTGCCCCCTCTATATATACCACCCTTTTAGCTTCTTTCTGAATAATCTATTTCTTCTCCAATTCTTTGCTTCCCCTTCTCTCTCTGTGCGATCCCATCAAAACCCTAATTTTGATCGCCAAAAAGCTCAAATTCCCTCTGATTACTCTAAAAAATTCGAAGCTCGACGATCCGATCATCGTCAAACCGCCCATACAAAACCTTGCTCACTTCAAGTTTAGTTGGCGCAGAATTTTAATTTCCCCAATTCAGCCTCTGCTCTTCGATCAATTCTTGGTTTTCAGGGATTGATCGGGTTCCATTTCAAAGAGTTTCTCAATCGTGCAATGCTTTCAGTTCCAATATGAAGTTAAAAAGAAGGAGGGCGGTTGAAGTGGTCAGTATATTTCACCTATGGAATCGATTTGATTGTTTTATGCATACATGCGCATGATATGTATGTGGACAAGAATAAAGTAGTGGGTTTTCGCTATATTTTGATTTCGAGAAGTTGATGGTTTTGGGTTATGTTCTTTTTCCCCTTTTCTTTTGATTTATTTCTCTTGGTTGTTTAAATTATGATGTTTTCTCAATTCTCAGTGAGTGGCGCTTTTGTTGCAATTGCTTATTTGGTTGGTATTGGGCGTCTATCAATTTTTTGTTTTCGTTGGCTGTTTAACTAGGGATTGATACAAGATAAGAAAGTTTGAATTTTTTGCTCTTCTTATTGAATTGTTTACACAATTCGGAGTACGAGAATGTAAAAATATTCAGCCTATTAAGCGAGATTTCCATTCTTGCTTGACAATTGCAATTAATACTAGGAAGATTTTAGAGATGATTATTCATGACCAATCCAGTTGACTATATTTGTTTGATTATTGTTTTTAGTGATTTTCTGCATCGAACATCCATCTGAATTTTATTTGTTTTTGTTGAACTTGCTAATATTGATTTTTTTTTGGGCGGGCGGGGGGGGGGGGGGTGGTGTCATACATACATGACAGATTGTTTTTGCGAAAAAGAAGTTTTAATCTTTTTATATGGATGCAATATCTAAATGGAACAAGATTGATTGGTTTTGACATTTATGCTTTAATGGTGTGTAGAAAATATGTGGAAACTGGATAATTGTTACCGCAAGGTGAAGTTAGGAGTTCGTCATTTTCTTTAAGATTTTCGCTATGCATTAAATTAAAATCTCTGTGAAGTTAGGAGTTCGTCATTTTCTGTGAGACTTTTGCTATGCATTGAAATATGTGAGACTTAGATTCATGAATTGTTTTGAAGTTATAAATCTAGTACATTCACATCACACAATAAAATTTTGCTCAAGCATATACTGCATTTAGCTTAAAGTGTGAGATGAATTGTGAGTGCGTGAATGATCTTAATTCCTTATAAGCATCTATTTGAAGATGGCGCTCTTAAGATTTTCAGTAATTAAACTTTATTAAGTGAACTTAACCATATTATGTGGAGGTTCATTAAGGTCAATCCAAGCCACTTTAATCCATTCTTTAAAGGTACCACAAGTGTGGCACTATTAACAACAAACTTTTTCCAGTGCCTCAGTTTTGTTTACATTAGTTTCAGTGTTGCTTATTTCCTGTAAGTAGTACGGAGATTTCTAACAAAGTCATGGGGGGTAATGTGTGTTAAAACAAATTTCTCTAGGATGTGATCTTGTTTGCACTACGTTGTAATGTTGTATGTGCCCTTCTCATTGTTTGCACACATTGTACATCCCTTCCTCATTGCACCTGAAGACCTTATTGTTTACAAATGATTCATCTCTTTCTGGTGTATTTGTTATGTCTCTGCTATAGTTGGGTACTAATTTTATATGAAAGCAATTTGGCGAGTCTGTAAATTGCTAACAATTATTTGTACTTTTTGTTTGGTCTTGTTTTGTTTCAGCCTCCAAAAATTAGATCCTTCATCAATAGTGTTACTGCTGTTCCCTTTGAGATTATAGAGGAACCTCTGAAAGGTTTCATCTGGGAGTTTGATAAGGTGATTTTATAACCTTTAACTGTTAAATTGATACGGTTATTTACATGCAATATGATTTATATGCTTTTATTTCTTGTGCAGGGAGATTTCCATCATTGGGTTGATCTTTTCAACCATTTTGATTCATTTTTTGAGAAGCATGTAAAATCCAGGAAGGATTTGCAGCTTGATGATAATTTTCTAGAAAGTGATCCTCCTTTTCCGAGGGAAGCTGTTCTTCAAGTTCTCCGTGTAATAAGGATAATTTTGGAGAACTGCACAAATAAGCATTTCTACAGTTCTTATGAGGTAAAATTTCCATCATTCACCTCTCTGTCATTGGTGCATAATTATTCCACCTAGATATATAATTATACCATTATTGCTTTTTGGGGTATTGTATATTGGATGAAGGCTTATTTTAGCTGGGTTGTGATGATTAACAACTCTGATTATTGTGCATTTCATTGTGTTATTCTTTCTTATATACATGAGTCAATTTCATTTGTTTTCAATTCCTCCTCCTCCCATTCATTAATTTTATTTCTTTGTTTCATATGTTATTGCAGCAGCATCTTTCATCTCTGCTTGCTTGCACTGATGCGGATGTGGTTGAGGGTTGCCTGCAGACTTTGGCTGCTTTTGTAAAGAAAACAGTCGGAAAGTATTCCATTAGAGATGCTGCACTAAATTCAAAGTTATTCGCTCTTGCACAAGGTTGGGGGGGAAAAGAAGAGGGTCTTGGATTAATTGCTTGTGCAGTACAGAGTGGTTGTGACCCTGTTGCCTATGAATTAGGTTCCACCCTTCATTTTGAGTTCTATGCATCCAATGATTCAACAGGTGACATCCCTGCCAACCAAGGATTACAAATCATTCACTTACCTAACATCAACACTCATCCAGAAACGGATCTTGAGCTTTTGAGTAAGTTAATTGCTGAGTACAAAGTACCCTCAACCTTAAGATTTTCTTTATTGACAAGATTGCGGTTTGCAAGGGCTTTTGGTTCTGTAGCTACTCGGCAGCAGTACGCATGCATCCGCTTATATGCCGTCATAGTTCTTGTTCAAGCAAATAGTGATGCTGACGATCTTGTTTCTTTCTTCAACACTGAACCTGAGTTTATCAATGAATTAGTGTCATTGTTGAGCTTTGAGGATGTGGTTCCTGAGAAAATTCGAATTCTATGTCTTCTTTCACTGGTTGCTCTTTGTCAAGATCGATCCCGGCAGCCTACTGTTTTGACTGCTGTCACATCTGGTGGTCATCGTGGAATCCTATCCAGTCTCATGCAGAAGGCCATTGATTTTGTCACCAAAGATACATCAAAGTGGTCTGTTGTTTTTGCTGAGGCTCTATTATCTCTTGTCACAGTTTTGGTGTCATCATCATCAGGTTGTTCAGCTATGCGTGAAGCTGGTTTTATCCCCACCCTTCTGCCTTTGCTTAAAGATACAAACCCACAACACCTTCATTTGGTCAGCACATCTGTGCACATTTTAGAAGCTTTTATGGATTACAGTAATCCTGCTGCTGCATTGTTTCGGGATTTGGGTGGTTTAGACGATACAATCTCTCGCCTACAGGTGGAAGTGTCTCATATAGAAAATGTCTCAAAGCATCAAGATGAGGATTCTGACATCATTGGGAGTAGTGCACAAGTAGTTGCAGGAACTTCCACAGAGTTAGACAACATGCAGCCTTTGTATTCAGAACCACTGGTTTCATATCACAGACGACTGCTTATGAAAGCTTTATTGCGTGCTATATCCCTGGGGACTTATGCCCCTGGAAATACTGCCCGTGTTTATGGCTCAGAGGAGAGTCTATTGCCGCAATGCTTATGCATTATATTTAAAAGGGCAAAGGATTTTGGTGGCGGGGTATTCTCACTGGCGGCAACTGTCATGAGTGATTTAATACACAAAGATCCTACCTGTTTTCCAGTCTTAGATGCAGCAGGCCTTCCTTCTGCCTTCTTGGATGCTATAATGGATGGAGTTCTTTGCTCTGCGGAAGCCATTACATGCATACCACAGTGTCTGGATGCCCTATGTTTAAATACTACTGGTCTTCAGGCCGTGAAAGATCGCAATGCTTTGAGGTGTTTTGTGAAGATATTTACTTCAAGAACTTATCTGCGTGCCCTGACCAGTGACACACCAGGCTCGTTATCTAGTGGATTGGATGAATTAATGCGCCATGCTTCCTCATTGCGTGGGCCTGGAGTGGATATGCTGATTGAGATCTTAAATGCCATTTCAAAAATTGGACATGGGGTTGATGCTCCTTACATGTCAATGGATCCTTTGGGCTCTTCTACTCCTGTTCCCATGGAAACAGATGGAGAAGAGAGGAATTTGGTCCTGTCTGATAATGGGGAATCATCCAAAACGGAGAGTTCAGAGCAGACTGTGGAACCACCTTCTGATTCTTCAGTGGGGAATGTTGAATTATTCCTTCCTGATTGTGTGAGCAATGCTGCACGTCTTCTTGAAACAATACTTCAGAATGGTGACACATGTCGTTTATTTGTGGAGAAGAAGGGGGTCGAAGCTGTCCTGCAGTTATTTACCTTGCCTTTGATGCCTCTTTCTGTTTCAGTTGGCCAGAGTATTTCTGTTGCATTTAAGAACTTCTCACCACAACATTCTGCTTCTTTGGCTCGGGCTGTTTGTTCATTCTTGAGAGAGCATATGAAATCAACAAATGAACTCTTAGTTTCAGTTGGAGGGACTCAACTTGCTTTGGTGGAATCTACGAAGCAAACTCAAGTTTTGAGACATCTTTCTAGTCTTGAAGCTATTCTATCTCTGTCTAATGTTCTGTTGAAAGGGACCACTACTGTGGTGTCTGAACTGGGTGCAGCAGATGCAGATGTATTGAAAGATCTCGGAAGCACATACAGGGAAATAATTTGGCAAATCTCTCTGTGCAATGATGTCAAGTTAGATGAGAAGATCAATGCTGAGCAAGAACCAGAGAGTGCTGAGGCAGGTCCGACTAATGCGTCTGGAAGGGAGAGTGATGATGATGCTAATATACCAATGGTGAGATATATGAATCCAGTTTCTATCAGGAATCAGCCCTTGTGGGGTGGAGAACGCGAGTTTCTTTCAGTTGTTCGCTCTGGTGAAGGTTTGCACCGTCGTAGTCGTCATGGGTTTACACGCATAAGGGGTGGAAGGACAAACCGACATTTGGAGGCTTTAAATGTTGATTCTGAATCTTCATCAACAGTATCGGAGACATCTACTTCCCAGGATTTGAAAAAGAAAAGTCCTGATGTTCTTGTGATAGAAATCCTCAACAAGCTGGCTTCCACACTGCGTTCCTTCTTCACAGCTCTTGTCAAGGGATTCACATCACCAAATCGGCGTAGAGACTCTGGGTCATTGAGTTTGGTTTCCAAGACTCTTGGAACTGCCCTAGCTAAAATATTTCTCGAGTCTCTTAGTTTCTCTGGGCATTCTACATCAGCTGGGCTTGATACTTCACTGTCAGTCAAGTGTCGATATCTTGGCAAAGTTGTCGATGATATGGTGTCACTTACATTTGACAGCAGGCGGCGAACTTGTTATACTGCAACAGTAAATAATTTCTATGTGCATGGTACTTTTAAGGAGCTGCTTACAACATTTGAAGCTACTAGTCAGTTGTTGTGGACACCACCATACTCTGTGTCAGCGTCAGGTATTGATCCTGAAAAGACAGGTGAAGGAAGTAAACTGTCCCACAGTTCATGGCTGCTTGATACTTTACAGAGCTATTGCCGTCTGCTCGAGTATTTTGTTAATTCTTCTTTACTCTTATCCACAACCTCTGCATCTCAGGCGCAGTTGGTTGTTCAGCCAGTTGCAGTTGGTTTGTCAATCGGGCTTTTCCCTGTGCCAAGGGACCCAGAAGTTTTTGTTCGTATGTTGCAATCTCAAGTTCTTGATGTGATACTTCCAGTCTGGAACCACCCTATGTTTCCAAATTGTAGTCCAAGTTTCATTGCTTCTATTGTCTCTCTTGTCATGCATGTATATTCTGGTGTTGGAGATGTGAAGCAGAATCGCAGTGGCATTGTTGGAAGTACAAACCAGCGAATCATGCCCCCACCACTTGATGAAAATACTATTACCACCATTGTTGAGATGGGTTTTCCAAGAGCTAGAGCAGAGGAAGCTCTTAGGCGGGTGGAAACAAATAGCGTTGAAATGGCCATGGAGTGGCTCTTTAGTCATCCTGAGGATCCTGTGCAGGATGATGATGAACTGGCTCGGGCACTAGCTCTTTCACTAGGAAATTCATCAGATGCATCCAAAGCTGATAGTGTTGAAAAGTCTGTTGATGTACTGGCAGAAGAGGGTTGTGTGAAAGCTCCTCCTGTTGATGATGCCCTTGCAGCATCGGTCAAATTGCTTCAAAGTAATGATACCATGGCATTCCCATTGACAGATTTGCTTGTGACGCTTAGCAACCGGAACAAAGGTGAAGACCGTCCAAGAGTTGTATCTTATCTTACTCAACAGCTAAAGAATTGTTCATTGGATTTTTCTAATGATACCAGTGCATTGAGTATGGTTTCACATGTTATTGCATTACTTCTTTCCGAGGATGGAAGCACAAGGGAAATCGCTGCACAGTATGGTATTGTGTCTACTGCAACAGATATCTTGATGAACTTTAAGGGCAAGGATGAGTCAGGCAATGAGTTTCTTGTCCCAAAATGTATCAGTGCTCTTCTGCTTATTTTGGATAACATGTTGCAATCAAGGTCCAGAATTTCTGAAGGTACTCAAACGGGGGCTTTACCTGAATTATCTGGAGAGCTTGCGTCAATCCCTGCATCAGATACAGAGAAAAAACAGCCTATGGATGCCCATGAAAGAGATTCTGCCATGGCATTTGAGAAAATATTGGGGAAATCTACTGGTTATTTGACTATGGAAGAGTCATAAGGTGCTAGCAGTTGCTTGTGATTTGATAAAGCAGCATGTCCCAGCAATGATCATGCAGGCTGTTTTACAATTATGTGCTCGCTTGACAAAAACTCATGCTCTAGCATTACAATTCCTTGAAAATGGAGGCCTGGCAGCTCTATTTGGCCTTCCAAGAAGTTGTTTTTTCCCTGGATATGATACTATTGCATCTGCTATCGTTCGCCATCTCCTTGAAGATCCACAAACACTGCAAACAGCAATGGAATTGGAGATTCGCCAAGCCCTGAGTGGAAACAGGCACGGTGGGCGCACTTCTGCACGAACATTCTTGACATCAATGGCACCTGTAATCTCCAGAGATCCAGTAGTTTTTATGAAAGCTGCTTCTGCGGTTTGCCAGTTGGAGACATCAGGAGGTAGGACCTTTGTTCTGTTATTGAAGGAAAAAGAGAAGGAAAAGGAAAAATCTAAAGCAGCAGGTGATGAGGCTGGATTATCTTCCAATGAGTGTGTGCGCATTTCTGAAAATAAGATACACGATGGATCTGGTAAATGCTCAAAAAGTCACAAGAAGATCCCTCCCAATCTCACTCAAGTGATAGATCAGCTTCTTGAAATAGTCTTCAAATACCATTTCCCAAATAGCCAGGAAGACTCTGCTAATAACCCATCCGCTATGGAGGTAGATGAACCCACTATGAAGGTGAAGGGTAAATCAAAGGTTGACGAGACAAGGAAAGTGGAGTCTGAATCTGAAAGATCTGCAGGGTTGGCTAAAGTTACCTTTGTTCTCAAATTACTGAGTGATATTCTTCTTATGTATGTACATGCAGTTGGGGTTATACTTAAACGAGATTTAGAAATGACTCAATTGCGGGGATCTAATCAACCAGATGGTCTTGGACATGGTGGTATACTGCACCATGTAATTCATCGATTGCTTCCACTCACCATTGATAAATCTGCTGGACCTGATGAATGGAGAGACAAGTTGTCCGAAAAAGCTTCTTGGTTCCTGGTAGTTCTGTGCGGTCGTTCCAGTGAAGGGCGCAGACGAGTAATTATTGAACTTGTAAAGGCTTTATCCTTGGTTTCGAACTTGGATATTACTTCCACCTTATTACCTGATAAAAGGGTTTATGCGTTTGTTGATTTGGTGTATTCAATTCTGTCAAAAAATTCATCATCTAGCAACTTACCTGGTTCTGGGTTTTCACCAGACATAGCAAAAGGCATGATAGATGGGGGAATGATTCAGTGTCTGACTGGTATCCTTCGGGTGATTGACTTAGACCATCCTGATGCTCCCAAAACTGTGAATTTGATACTCAAGGTGTTAGAAAGCCTAACAAGGGCTGCTAATGCTAGTGAGCAATACTTTAAATCTGATGAGACGAGCAAGAAAAAATCCACAGGGTTGAATGGAAGATCTGATGGTCAGGTAACTGCCCCATCAGCTGATACAACTGTGGGGGATAATCAGAATACAAGCAGTGAACAGGGTGTGGGAGGTATCGTACAGGTTGTTCAAGGGGATCAAGGAACTTCTCAAAGTGAAGCTAATCCTGATGGAAATCCAAACCAGTTGGTGGAACAAGATATGAGGATAGAAGTTGAAGGACCGCTAGCTTCTAATCCATCTATGGAGCTTGGGATGGATTTCATGCGTGAGGGGATGGATGAAGGTAATGTACTGCACAACACTGATCAAATTGAGATGACTTTTCGTGTTGAGAATAGGGCAGATGATGACATGGCTGATTTAGAAAATGACATGGGTGATGATGGCGAGGATGATGAGGATGATGATGAGGGAGAAGATGAGGATGAGGATATAGCAGAGGAAGGTGGTGGCATGATGTCTCTTGCTGATACTGATGTGGAAGATCATGAAGGTAACGGCTTGGGAGATGATTACAATGATGAAATGATTGATGAAGATGATGACGATTTTCATGAGAATCGTGTCATAGAAGTGAGATGGAGGGAAGCCCTTGATGGGCTTGACCATTTGCAGGAAATTGGACAACCTGGAGCTGCAAGTGGTCTCATTGATGTTGCTGCTGAACCTTTCGAAGGGGTTAATGTGGATGACTTGTTTGGTCTGAGAAGGCCGTTGGGTTTCGACCGCCGCCGTCAGACAAGTAGGTCTTCCTTTGAGCGATCTGTTACAGAAACAAATGGATTTCAACATCCTCTCCTTTTAAGACCATCCCAGTCTGGGGATTTGGTCTCAATGTGGTCAGCAGGTGGAAATTCATCCAGGGATCTAGAAGCCCTGTCATCAGGGAGCTTTGATGTAGCTCATTTCTACATGTTTGATGCTCCTGTTCTACCTTTTGATCATGTACCAAGCAATATTTTTGGTGACCGCTTGGGTGGTGCAGCACCCCCACCGTTGACTGATTATTCTGTAGGTATGGATTCATTGCAGTTATCGGGCCGAAGAGGACCAGGTGATGGTCGATGGACCGATGACGGCCAGCCTCAAGCAGGTCCTCAAGCTGCTGCTATTGCACAAGCAGTGGAGGAACAGTTTATATCACAATTACGCAGTCTTGCTCCAGCTGATATCCCTGCTGAACGACAGTCCCAGAACTCAGGAGTGCAGGAGAAACAGCCAGATCTCCCTCCTTTAAGTGATAGTCAAGTAGCAGTGGAGCGTGATGACAGCCATGAAAGAAATGAAGATCAGCATCAAGTTGGGGTTGATGAAACAACACATCAAGTTAACTCAAGTTCTGACGCTGCTCCCTGTCAAGAACAAGTCAATCCAGAATCTGTAGTCGAAGGTGCAGGGGAGTTCTCACAGGTACCTGAACCAATGTCAATTATGCCACCTTCAACCAGCAGTACACCAAGCGATAGCATGGACATTGGTGATGGGAATGGTGCTGCTGGTGAGCAAGTAGGGTCAATGCCAGGTTCTGTCAACTCGTCTGCAGAAATAAGTGCTGGTTTACAATGTGAAGGGGTCTCTGCTGTGCCTTCTAATGCCCATGATGTTACAGTGGTGGAGGCTGTGGGTTGTGATAGATCCTCAAGAACAGAGGGGCAGGTTGGTAATGTGTCGGCAAGTTTCGGTTTTGATGTGCCTACTCCAGGTGATTCTCATACTTTTTTTATGCCAACAAATGTTGATGTTGATATGAATTACATTGGTGAAATAAATGAAATTGGCCATCCCATGCCTGCTTTTGAAAATCGTACAGATGAACCATCAAGGGAAAACACAACTGTTGCTCCAGAAGCTAATCAGGCTGAACAAGATTTGAATAATGAGGCTAATGGTGCTACTGCAATTGATCCAACCTTCTTGGAAGCTCTACCTGAAGATTTGAGGGCCGAAGTTCTTGCTTCACAGCAAGTTCAGCCCGTTCAACCTCCATCTTATGTGTCACCTTCTGCAGATGACATTGATCCTGAGTTTTTAGCAGCCCTTCCTCCAGATATCCAAGCAGAAGTTTTGGCTCAACAAAGAGCACAACGGGTTGCACAGCAGGCTGAGGGACAACCGGTTGACATGGACAACGCTTCAATAATTGCTACTTTTCCAGCTGATTTACGTGAAGAGGTTTTCATCTGGAACTGCATCTTTCATGACTAGGTTGTAATGATTATTTGTCTTACATATGTAATTTTTCTCGGTCCAGGTGCTTTTAACTTCTTCAGAAGCAGTTCTGTCTGGATTGCCTTCTCCATTGCTCGCTGAAGCCCAAATGCTAAGAGACCGAGCAATGAGTCATTATCAGGCTCGCAGCCTTTTTGGGACCAGCCACAGGCTAAATAACCGGAGAAATGGATTGGGTTTTGACCGGCAGACGGTGATGGACAGAGGTGTTGGAGTCACTATTGGCCGGAGGGCAGTTTCTGCTCTTGCAGACTGCTTAAAGGTTAAGGAAATTGAAGGAGAGCCGCTTCTGGATGCTGATGCATTGAAAGCCTTAATTAGGCTATTACGATTAGCGCAGGTAAATCCATATTCCAATTATGGGTAATTGGAATGTTTATAACTGGTTATGAAAGTTTCATGTTTATATATTAGTTGAAATATGAATTTTAGATTTTCTTTAAAAGTTGAACAAATTTATGTTTACTATTCAAGTGTGAAGCTTTTGTTGATGGGAATAATATTCTGTAAAGGACCTCACATGAAAAAATTTCGGTTTGTTGAAGAGTAGAAAACTGAGTGGGTTGTATTTTCTCAATTTTTGCTGTGAAAGACCTCAAATATAACACATTATTTGAAAGTCACATGCATACGTGCATGTACTACATACAGTCTCATACAATCACTCATTAAATGACTATCTTCTGCTAACATGATGCCTTTTTTTTTTGTTTTTTTTGTGTGGTTAGCCCCTTGGTAAAGGACTCTTGCAGAGGCTATTGTTGAACTTATGTACCCACAGTGTTACACGAGCAATCTTAGTTCGTCTTTTGCTCGATATGATCAAACCCGAGGCTGAGGGCTTAGTCGGTGGATTAGCAGCTATTAATTCCCAAAGGCTTTATGGTTGCAATTCAAATGTTGTTTATGGTCGATCACAGTTGTTAGATGGTAAGTCATCTGACGCGCCAACAGTTACTGCAGTATATTTGTTTCTTCGATTTATGAACTAACAATTTGTTTGCTTTTTCTTCTTTTTCAATAGGTCTTCCTCCCTTGGTGCTGCGTCGAATTCTTGAGATCTTGACTTATTTGGCCACAAATCATTCTGCTGTGGCAAATATGTTATTCTTCTTTGATTTCTCTGGTGTTCCTGAGTCATCAAGCCCTATGCATGTGGAAACCAAGAAGGACAAAGGCAAGGAGAAAATTGGAGAAGCAGGATCTTCAAAAACTTCTGGAAACACCCAGGATGCTGACATTCCCCTGATATTGTTCCTGAAGCTCCTGAACCGACCTCATTTTGTACACAGCACTGCTCATCTTGAGCAGGTACAACCTACTCTATTATTAACCAGTTTAAAATGACCTCGGGCAGAGATTATTTTCTATTTGTATATTTAATTAAAAGTGTAAAGTCCCTTGTTAGTTGTTAGATATCCACATATCTTCAATGATACGTGAGACCTTATCTGAATTTAAGATTGGAGTAATTCAATTGTTTGTAATGTCCGACTCGTCAACCATTCTGGACAAAACCTAGTACCTGCTCCATAACTATTTCTCTTCTTAAAAATTTAGAAAATAACTAAGTATATGTTAGAGAACTGCGTATTGCGTGCCATATCTCTTGTTGTACATGTGGAGTCATAATCTTGATTATTTTATTGCTAAATCGTGTCCTACATCATGATCCTTCTAAAAAAATTTATAGTTCAACACCATCTCATGTTTTTTTTTTTGGGTGCTACAGGTCATGGGCCTGCTTCAGGTTGTTGTATATACTTCAGCTTCAAAATTAGAGGGCCAGTCTCAATCTGAGGGGGCAGATAAGCCTGTTGGTGAAGCATCAGGAGATGGTCAAAAGGGTCCTCCTTTGGAATCAGAATCTGGTCAGGGAGATAAACCTGTTAGTGGTGAATCATCAATTTCAGATGGAAAGAGGAGTACGGATACATATAATGTTTTCTTGAAGCTGCCAGAATCTGATCTGCACAATCTTTGCAGCCTTCTTGGTCGTGAGGGGTATTATTAGCTCTCTAATTCTTACAATTTTATTCTTTAAACGTATGTGCAGGTTTTTTTATATTAACCGTTGTGACTTTATATGAGTAGTTGCTCCTTTTATTTGCATGTCCTCTACCAACGTATTAGACCCTCCACTCATTTCTTTGTGCTACAGTATATGAACTAGGTTTTTATGAGTGTCTAATCTGAGTCCATTTACTTGATTAGGCTTTCAGATAAACTTTATATGCTTGCTGGTGAGGTGTTGAAGAAGTTGGCCTCAGTTGCAGCGCCCCATCGAAAACTTTTTGTCTCAGCGCTGTCAGAACTAGCTCATGGTTTGAGTGCCTCAGCTGTTGGGGAGCTTGTCACTCTCCGAAACACACATATGTTGGGTTTAAGTGCTGGATCAATGGCTGGGTCAGCAATCTTACGTGTATTACAAGCACTTTGCTCCCTCACCTCACCTAGGGCTAGTGAGAATTCAGGACTGGAGAATGATGCGGAGCAGGAGGAGCATGCCATCATGTGGAAGCTAAATGTTGCACTTGAGCCACTGTGGCAAGAATTAAGCAACTGTATAAGTGCAACTGAAACAGCGCTGGGTCAGAGTTCTTTCTGTCGAACCATGTCTATAGTAAATGTTGGAGACCATGCACAGGGTTCTTCTTCATCTCCTCTCCCCCCTGGAACTCAGAGGCTCCTGCCTTTTATGGAGGCATTTTTTGTTTTGTGTGAAAAGCTACAAGAGAACCTCTCTACAATGCTGCAAGATCAGGCGAATATAACTGCAAGAGAAGTCAAAGAGTCCTCTGGAAACTCAGATCCTTCAACTACCAAGTGCCACAGTTGTGGGGATTCTCAGAGAAAGCTTGATGGTGCTATTACATTTACAAAGTTCGCTGAGAAGCACCGCCGGCTTTTAAATGCTTTTATCAGACAGAATCCAGGTTTGTTGGAGAAATCCCTTACTATGATGCTGAAGGCACCAAGGCTAATTGATTTTGACAACAAGAGAGCGCATTTCCGGTCAAGAATTAGGCATCAGCATGAGCAACATCTCTCTGGTCCTCTGAGAATAAGTGTTCGGCGGGCTTATGTTTTGGAGGATTCTTATAATCAGTTGCGCATGCGGCCTACTCATGACATGAAGGGTCGGTTAAATGTCCAATTCCAAGGGGAAGAGGGTATTGATGCTGGAGGTCTGACACGAGAGTGGTATCAATTACTGTCGAGGGTCATATTTGACAAGGGGGCATTGCTTTTCACCACTGTAGGAAACAATGCAACTTTCCAGCCAAACCCTAATTCTGTCTACCAGACAGAACATCTGTCATATTTTAAATTTGTGGGCCGTGTGGTAATTCTTCTGGACTATTGACTTTTTGAAACTGGCTTTATAATTCTGTATTAAATTTCTCTTTAACATTTGCTGCTCTGATAATTCATTCAGGTTGCAAAGGCACTTTTTGATGGGCAACTTTTGGATGTTTATTTCACTCGATCCTTCTACAAGCATATACTTGGTGTAAAGGTGACTTACAATGATATAGAGGCTGTGGATCCTGATTACTACAAGAATTTAAAGTGGATGTTAGAGGTTAGTGTGCTTTTGATCACACACTGATTTTTAAGAGTTCCAAGGTTGGATTGGAATGGGTTTCGTTGTCGGTTTATATCTTGTTAACTGATCTAAGATGTAGTGGTATTCTGAACTTCTGTTTCTGCGTGGATTAAGACTCTCAGTTCCTTTGTTGTGTACGTTTCTTTTAATTTTAATTTTTTTCGTGTGTCCAGAATGACGTGAGTGATATTCCTGACCTGACGTTTAGCATGGATGCGGATGAAGAAAAGCATATCCTTTATGAGAAAAACCAGGTATTTGAATGATATTCCTGATTTATATGCAACTTTTTATTTCTGTTCTTTCTTTTTGAAAGCTTTTGGTTTTTCACGTAGTGTTATTATAAAGTCTTCCTTAGATGCTTATCTGATTTTCATTCAGTGTTATAACATTAAATTGAGCTCACGGATTTGACTAATGTTGTACTTGTTCGTTGTGTTTTCCTTTCTTTCTACCTTCTTGAAAAGGTTACTGATTATGAGCTGAAACCTGGAGGAAGAAATATTCGGGTTACTGAAGAAACGAAGCACGAGTATGTTGATCTTGTAGCTGAACATATCTTGACAAATGCTATCCGTCCTCAAATTGATTCCTTCCTGTACGGGTTTCATGAATTGGTCCCGCGAGAGCTTATCTCTATTTTCAATGACAAGGAGCTTGAGCTACTCATCAGTGGTCTTCCAGAGATTGATTGTGAGTTGCATTTTGAATGAGCTTATTATTTAATAGATATGATATTTTGCTTCTGTTGTGGTATCTGAATGGTAACATTGTCCTTGCAGTGGCTGATTTGAAGGCCAACACCGAGTACACTGGCTACACATCAGCATCTGATGTTGTTAAATGGTTCTGGGACGTGGTTGAAAGTTTTGACAAGGAGGACATGGCGAGACTGCTGCAGTTTGTGACTGGAACATCAAAGGTAACTGTTTTGTACTACAAAAGAAATATGAAATAGTATATATACTTCTCCATATGTGCTGGTTCACGACTAAAAAGGATATTATATGGGCTTTTGTACTTTCTGATAATGTACGACCCCCCCTTTTCCCTTGGCCAATCCCCTTTTTCCAACAAACCAACCCCTCCCTTTATAATGTTCATAACTTTTTTCACAGGTTCCGTTGAAAGGGTGACTTATGTTGTTTTTACCCTGAGCATTTTACCTTGATATCAGTTGCCTATAGACTCCATAGATCATTTTCATTTCCTGTGAACATGATTTTTGACAATGCGCATATTGTCTCATTGAACTTTGCCATTTTATAATGATTGGAAATGGCTTGTGTAGCTGTTGATTTATATGTTTGCGATTTTCAGGTTCCATTGGAAGGTTTCAGGGCGTTGCAAGGTATCTCTGGTCCTCAGAAATTTCAGATTCACAAGGCTTATGGAGCTCCTGACAGGCTGCCCTCCGCTCATACATGGTTAGTGTAAACATAATTTGTTTGGTCCCGTCTTACCTTACAAAAAATGTTCATTTCTTTGTCCCCGTCACATTCTCGTCAAGCTCGATGCGTCTGATGTGTTCCTATGTCTTTTCCAGCTTTAACCAGCTAGACCTTCCTGAGTACACCACCAAAGAACAGCTTCATGAACGATTGTTACTTGCTATTCATGAAGCTAGTGAAGGATTTGGCTTTGGTTGACAGAAAAGAATCTCAGCAGATATTGTTTCTCCAGGGTTCCAGTCATCGGTCGTATAGTTAGCATGTACATGTCAGTTCGACATCCTTTTTCTTTCCTTGTTTCGAATCCCTTCGCTAATCCTTTCTGAAATCAACTCAATTTAATTTGTGATTTTCGTTCTAATTCTCCCCCATTCTTCGCGCAGATGACAGAACCGGTTCTGAATTTTAGCTTCCAGAATTACAGCAACTTTTGGAGAAATCGAATGATGGATTTTGTTAAGAATTCGGAAACCATTATCTTACCGGAGGCCGGTAAGCTCCTCGGTGACAATGGATTGAAATTGTAGAAATTATTTTGCGGATTCTTAACGTGTGGGAAAATTGGGGAGTCGGTACAGATGGATATGGATAGAAAATCTGTTCTTTTTGGTGTTTATATTAGATCTCTATTTAGATTAGTCAGTTTTCTTCGCTTTCTCTGACCTGAATGTTTGGTAATAAGCCTAGGAATATGTATATGTATATGTAATTCCATATGGTTTCTTTTGGATTTTAATTTATTTGAAGGCGAGAAGGTGATTCCAATTTTGCTCTCAGTTTTATTTGTGCAAATGAACATGCCCTCTAGCCCGTCGTTTGCGGGAGAAATTTGACGGTGGCAGTATTCCAAGCCAATCTATGTTTGATGTTTGCTATTGGCAATGCATCCGTGCTTCGTTTAGGATACTGCAACAATGTCATCTCTTGCCTCGAAGTTGTTCTAATGATTAGTCGGGTTTGTAACCATTTTTCAACAATGCAATATGCAAAAGGGACGATATCATGGCCTAACTGGTCTAACTCACTACACCATCCACCCTGTTTTTAAGCCTTTTTGCCAATATTATCTGTAATTTTCGTTGATTTTTGTAGGAAATTCCAAGTTATGTACTTAAAATGCTTGATTTTCCATTGATATTTGATTTGAAATAGAGAGTAAAGGAGGGTTGAGAGAAGAAGGATAACACACCGTCACCGTATCTTAATAAGGGCTCGTTCGACACTGCGTTTGGGGTGGAGAATAGTTGTTTCAAGTAACCAAAAGCAATGTTTGACAGAAAACTAGAAAGTGATTATGGATTATAATTGCTTTTTAGTACTTTTTGGAGAGTACTTATAAATACTTATAAGAACTTGTATTTTTCATGAAGAAAATGGAAGAAGTATTTTTCATGAAGAAAATAACTCGTTCTCTCCTCTACTCTTCCACACCCCCTCTCTTCTAGACTTGGAATTGAACAAATCAAATCATAAAAGAGATGCTGAAGAGATTTTTTTAAAGTGGGTATTTTTATAGACTCTCTGTCACCTTATAGTTTAACACTAATTTTCATGTCAATATTATAAAATATTGTGAAAAAAATATGAAATGTCAGATAGTTCATGAAAAGTTTCACTTTGAAAAAGTCTCCGTAACATTTCTCATCAAATGATAACCAATGAAGAAAAAATCAATTAGAAGCGCAAAAAGAATAATTGGGGAGTGCGAAAATTGCTATTTGAAAAATAATTTTGTCATAATTTAACAAAGGCCCAACATAAAAAATCTCTTACAACTTCTAAAAATAACAATTTAATTAAATAAGAGCAAATTAGTGAAGTAAATTGAAATGAAAAAAATAGTAAAATAGAATGAAGTTGTCGCTCATTCTTTTTCAACATTTTGAAATATTAATTACTGATTTTTTTTGGTATAAAATATATAAAAAGATTAATTATCACTCGCCTTGACGGGTGGTGAAAGATTAATAGATTATAATGAAGGGAAAAAAATAGAGTATACTGCCGATTTGCCCCCTGAACTATCACCAAACTTTCGATTTCCCCCCTGAACTTTTTAATTGGAAAATTAAGGACTTAAACTAATTTTTTTGGCCAATTTGCCCCCTGCTGTTAATTTTTCATTCATTTCATCCAAATTTTTGTTAAATGGAAGCATATGCACAACATGTGTGGGTAGTTCGGTCGCTTCATTCTTTAAAATAATTGAAAACCTTAGATTTCTAAAATATAAACCTATGCAAATATGTGTGATTCTATAGCTTTTGTATCTAAAGGTCTAGTGAAATGACACTTTTGTCCACAAATGAGAGTTACGTGGTTTGCACATGATAAGAGTTAACGTTAATTTGGATGAAATCTATGAAAAACTAATTGTAGGGGGGAAATTGGCCAAAAAAAATTAGTTTAAGTCCTTAATTTTCCAATTAAAAAGTTCAGGGGGGAAATTGAAAGTTGGGTGATAGTTCAGGGGGCAAATCGACAGTTTACTCAAAAAAATATAAAAGCTTGCCCGTAAAGTAATTTACTTTTTTCATCTTTCTCTCCCTCTTTCTTTTGCATTTCTTTTAGGGGTGTGCTATCCATACACTCTTTTTTACTTTTTACATACCCTGTTAATTTCTATCCGTTAGATCTTCTTCAATTCATCCGATCCGACAGTCGAAATCCAAAAAGGTGTAAGAGAAGTAAAAATGAGTGTGTGGATATCACATCCCTTCTTTTATATCCGATGAGAATCCTTTTTTAATTCTTTTTGTAAGAATACTAAAGATTTTCATATTATAATCGTTCATTATACATCGTATATGATCATTTTTTATTATGTACTATTTATATTTAATTTTAATTAAAAATTTAAATAATTTTGTGAGATGAGATTCAAATCATTTTATAACAAGCAAAGCCCGGCATTTTGTATTAATGTTGCGCTGCCTTTTGCTTTGATCAGATCGAAATTGCAGCCTGGGAATCCATATTTTCACGTTTTGTTTTTCTATCAAGCAAAGCCATTGCTCGACCGAGACTCGCTTCCTCAGCTGCATTTTCCTGTTCATCGAATACTGTGAGTTCCTGAAGCTTTTCTTTTTTAATTTCTTTTTCTTGGGGCTTATTAAGATAATTTATGCTATAACAGTTGAGGATTTGGATTCAGTGTTCGTTTTTTCAGATGGGTTTTTTATTTTATATGCAATTTTTAATTTTTTCTGTTTTGGATATGGACGTTGCTCTGCTGTTAAAACAGTTGCTTTCATCTGATGGAAATTGCTCTGCTGTTAAATTATGAAGAGAATTTATCCAATAACAATTTTGGAATTGGATTTAGAGTTCATTTTTTCAGATGGGTTTTTAATTTATATGCATTTTTTTTTTAATTTTTAAGTTTTTGAACAGATGTTGCTGTGCTGTTAAAACAGTTGCTTTGATCAGATGAAAATTGCAGCCTGGGAATTCAAAGTTTGAAACAATGGCTCACAATTTTCCTGAGGAAATCATACATGATATTCTGTTTAGATTACCTCCTAAATCATTGATCATATGCACCTCGGTGTGCAAGCCATGGAACTCCATGATCAAAAGTCCCAGCTTTATTCGCACCCACCTCAGCCGTACAATTGATCTTAATAACCAGTTTGGCACCCACCTCCTCCTTCTGGACTGTGTTCGACCTCTTTATAGCTACGTCAATGACAAATTTCCAATGCAGAGGTATTGCAGTTTGCGTTATGACAACCTTGCTTTTGATGAGTACTGCAAACTAGAATTTCCAGTTGCTCCCAAGGAAGAACTGCGCAATAAAGTTTTAGACATGGTCGGCGTTTGTAATGGGCTGGTGCTTCTTGCTGATAATAAAGTTTGTTCAGGTAACACCTTCATTTTATGCAACCCGTCTATGAGAAAGTCAGTGACCCTTCCTAAGTTTCATCTTAACATCAAGATGGATCTTGTTTATATTGGTTTTGGTTTTGACGCTGTGACTAATGACTACAAGGTTGTGAAACTTACCCGTGGTTATCAACCTGACAATCCGAATATTCTTTATGAGGTTTATTCACTGGCTGGTGGTTCATGGAGTGATCCTCTTTCTTTGGATCACATATGTACCTTTAACAGTATTAACAAACTCCATGCTTTTGTTAATGGAGCCATTCATTGGATTGCATGCTGCAATTTGGCAGATGGTGCTTATGAATGTTTCATTTTGGCGTTTGACGTGGGCAGCAATTCATTTCACAGGATAATGGTACCAAAGAATTTCAGAAGCTCAAAGCCCTACCAGTTGTCTGTTTCAGGTTATGGGAAATCTATTGCTCTCTGCGGGCATTATTTCATTGATTCTTTTGAGCCTTATCTTGAGATATGGGTGATGAAAGAGTAGGGCATGGAAGAGTCATGGACCAAATTGACAGCTCTAATTTCACCAGGTCCAGAAAGAAATTCTTTGTATGGGCCGTTATGTTTTAGAAAGAGTGGTGATGTAGTGTTGGTACCGTTTGATGGTTCTGAGGATGATGATAGGTATGGATTAGTTTGTCTAGACCTTGGGAGCAAACAATTTACATATCTGGGAATTGATGGATATAAACCCTACTATGCTGAATCTTATGTTGAGAGCCTCGTCTTACTCGACAACACCGATGCAGTTTCCTACTGAAGAAAAGAAGAGGTAAGGTGGTAGCATTGGTTTTTCTTTGGTTTTCATTGTCTTGTCGTTCTAATGCATATACCTCCAAGTCTCCTACTGAGTGTGACATGGTATGACCATGCGATTAACGAATGAATACAGCACGCTGAAGTGTAATTGTATTCATTCGTCCTCCATGCAGGTAGAAAACGAGGCAAATAACCTTCAAGACTCTTACGATACCTTCCGTGTAGATGCGCGGTGCTAGCCTTGCTGCTTCTGATGTTAAATTGTTCCAAAGTGTATCAAGATTTTCAATAGTTGATCAAATATAGGGTATAAATACTTTGTCATTTCAGACTGTCCAAACAAAGCAGCCATATAAAGTGGTGTCATTCCTTCGCCACCTGGAATTGTTGGCAAGAACCTATTGTTTTGTATCAAAATATCGGCAATTTCTACGGTTCCAGCTGCAGCGGCAAAGCTCAGTGCCGTATTTCCTTTTTTGTCTTGAAGTGCCAGGTCTTCTTCATCTATCATTTTGACTAGTTCTGTCACAATCTGAATATTATTTTTTGCTCCTGCTGCAACGTGTAGAACTGTTTCCCATCCTTTTGTTATGCTAGCAGTTAAGAGTGCCGGATTGATATTTAAGATGCCTTTGGTGGTTTCCCAGTTGCCTTTCATTGCAGCTTTGTAAAGGGGCATACAAAAGTCTAAGTATGCCTCTCCTGTGATGGATGCAAGGGATGAAGTTAGACTGAGCATATGGTTAATTTGTGTTCGTAGAATATATATGCGTACACAAATACTCTCGTAGAAGAATTTGGCATACCATCTATTTAAAATTAGATTGATTATTGTCTAAATAGATGAACCGTCTATTACTTTGTATCATTTAGTCGTTCATATGCATCAAAGAAATAAACAGTTCATTTGAGGATTACTTGTTATCAAAAAATCGATTTGTTCAATACATATGCATGGAAGAACGAATTCCAATTTGGCCAAATTTATTGATTTAGAAAACTTCATCCTAATCCTTGAAAAACATCACACTTAGACTAAAACCTTTAGTAAGATTAAAACTAATTTTAGTTCGTTGAGTCACTGTAAATGTCAACATACATTTAATCACCTCATATGTTAATTATATTTTGATGTATTATTTCTCTTTTTCTTCATAATTTTCATTTCATTCATCATAATATTTTGTTTTAGACATTTAAGTAAACTATAATATTTTGTTTTAGACATTTAAGTAAACTAACTTATTATATTATTTTTAGACATTAACTTATATAATATACTTTGGTATATCCATTTCGAAACAGACATTTAGATGCATTGATTAAATAGAATACATTTTGATAAATATTTAGTTACATTAATTCATTATAATAAATTGTGGTACATATATTTTTATACAGATATTTAAATAAATCAATTAGAGGTCGCACTTGGTGCGATGGCAAGTGCCTTCGCCCATGAGCGGTAGGTCTCGGGTTCGAGATTTGGGAGCAGCCTCTCTATAAAATGGGGGTAAGGCTAGCCGACATCTCCCTGCGTAAAGCGGGAGCCTTGTGCACTGGGTACGACATTTTTTATTTAAATAAATCAATTCATTTTAATATATTATCAGTACCGTAACATCCGACATCGCACAGGGGAGTGGATCCTCTAAGCCTTATCACTGTTCTAAAAATCCCCGCCTAGCGCCGCCTAGGCGCTAGGCGGCTGGTCACCGCCCGATTAATGACTAGACTGCCTAGGCACCCGCCTAGCCCGCCCAGACATGCTGAGGCGCCTACCTAGCCGGCCCAGACCCGCCTAGACACCTGCCTAGGTTGCAACTCACTTAGATAAAAAATAGATAACTTTCATTTTGCATTTTATTGTTTCCAATAAATTATAAGAGACTTATTGAACACTTAAATAAACACACACTATATGTTTGCTCCCTATGTTTTCATTATGTTCTAATACTTCATAATATATGTCATTCTATTTTCTAGTTTATGACGAAATTATGTATATTTTAAGTATAAACAGACACTTATTTACATGAAATATAATAGATTTACTTAAATTCGTCTAGTCCGCCTAGGCGCTAGGCCCCATCCCGCCGCCCGACTAGCGCCTAGCGCCCAAGGAAGAAAATATCGGTAATATCGGAAATATCGGTAGTCCGAAAACACGGAAATATCGATGGAAATATCGGGATAATATTGATATCGATAAAAATTACATGGAAACCACGGAAATTGTAAGAAAAACTTGGAAATTTTTATTGAAATTTTGCAGGATGTTTATTTAGTCATTTATCTATTAGTTTATCACAAAAAATTGGAAGGAAATGCATTGCATGATGGATTTAACTGATTTAAGTTGATTATATAGCGAGCTGGCAAACATTGTGAGTGTAGAAAATATGTAGTAATTAATGAAAGAAATTTAAACACATCATAATCATTTATATATAATGAATTAGTACAATATTTTACACTTTATACATTGTATGGTAAGATACATGAGTGACATATTCTTATAACGGGTACATATCAATTAGTATCTATCCATCCACCAGCCATTAACGACGACGCATCGAATCAGACATATGAACAGACAAGTACGTGCTTGCTAGTGCTGAAGCTACTCAAAGAAAAAGACAGGAAATTAATTAAGCAACCACCGTGAATGACTTGACAACGACGATGTCCCTAGACACCGCCTGCAGCTAATTTCATACATCTCGCTTCCATTTTTTCCTTGAAACAGCATTCACCGTGTGAGTGGTCACCAACCACTCCACAACGAAAACACGTAGGTATATGAGCACGCTTTCGTTCATGCCTGCACTCGTTATCAATGGAACCACAATGCAAACACAGTATAACAAAGCCCTTGCCAACACTTTTTACCGTCCGTGGGAGTTGCAGAAGATATGGGCAGCTTACACTATAATGGGGACCCCCGGCATCACCACCGCAACATTCACACTCAGGAATTTCTTTTTATTTTTTTCCAAGACCGTGTGGACAGAGAGAGTCTTGAACAACCTTTACTTCTTTCTTCTCATCTGTACATGTGTTTGAGGAGATTAATGCACAAATAGTCTGGACTGACCACACACTTAAATAAAGACCTTTAATTACTAATTTGTATTCATACTCAGGAATTTCTTCAATCGCTGTGTGACCAAAACGCCGGCATATTTGGCATTGAATCTTCCCTCCAGTAAAAGCTATCAAAAGGAGAGAAATGAGGCAGTCCAACATGTGCAGCACCGAGAAACCTAGAACAAAATTATAGGCTCTAGAAATAGAACCGGAAGAACACGAGCCAGACGAGGAACCACCACTAGAACAAAATTCGAGTTGTTGCTGTTGTCCCACATCGCCCAAGGCATAAAGAGAAGCTGGTGAAGGGACTATAAAATGGACCTGTTGTCCCACATCGCCCAAGCATAAAGAAGAAGCTGGTGGAGGGATTATAAAATGGACCATCAGCCCAAACTTAAAAGCATACCAGAAAATTTTTACCCTTAGCGATATTATCGTAATATTTACGATATTAGTGATAATATCGCGATACTATCGATAATATCGCGATATATGAACGATAATTAAGGGACAAGTGGGAAAATATCGGTATCTAAAAAAACGACAATATCGGCGATATTTCGCCGATAATATCGATATTTTGTTCCTTGCTAGCGCCTTTTAGAACATTGAGCCTTATATGTACATTCTCATCTCTACCTAGCACGAGGCCTTTTGGGAGCTCATTGGCTTCGGGTTCCATCAGAACTCCGAAGTTAAGCGAGTTTGCGCTAAAGTAATCCCAGGATGGGTGACCCACTGGGAAGTTCTCGTGTGAGTTCCTAGAAACAAAACCGTGAGGGCGTGGTCGGGGTCCAAAGCGGACAATATCGTGCTACGATGGAGTCAAGCCCGGGATGTGGTGGGGGTCGGGGCCGAGATGTGACAATTTGGTATCAGAGCCAATCTCTGGCCGGAAGTGTGCCGACGAGGACGTCGGGCCCCTAAGGAGGATGGATTGTAACATCTCACATCGCCCAGGGGAGTGAATCCTCTAAGCCTTATATGTACATTCACATCTCTACCTAGCATGAGGCCTTTTTGGAGCTCACTGGCTTCGGGTTCCATCGGAACTCTGAAGTTAAGTGAGTTTGCGCGAGAGCAATCCCAGGATGGGTGACCCACTGGGAGTTCTCGTGTGAGTTCCCAGAAACAAAACCGTGAGAGCGTGGTCGGGACCCAAAGCGGACAATATCGTGATACGGTGGAGTTGAGCCCGAGATGTGGTGGGAGTCCGAGCCGGGATGTGACAAGTACACTTATGTATTCCCATATTTTTCTTATATGTAACTAATTTTATTTGATTTTTCTTTTGAATTTTTTTTCTCATTTAGGTTCATTTTTAACGTGTAAGAGGGGAGGAAGTTTTTTATTTTTTATTTTTTTTCTGGACAAACAATATTATCTACACTAAAGAGAAGGGAGTTGGTTAGTCTCACAATTGGCTAGCAAATGTGGTTCAAATTTCGCTTTTTGACGAGAATTGAACCTAAGACCTCATAAATGAACTAAAATGTGTATTTTTTTGTCATAAAATTAAAATGTGTGTATTATTCAATTCAAATATTTAATGGGAGACTTTAAACAAAAATACATATTTAAACTACATATCAATAAAACATTCATTGTCAACAAAAACTCTATGAACTTACCAGTTTAAACATCTAATTAAAACTGAACATGAATAAGAAATATGGGCCGAAATGTAATTTCAAACAATCAAAATTTTGTTGTTTTTTTTTTGTCAAAGCCTTACCTACATGTTATTCTAACATATTTCTAATTAAAAACTAAAAAAAAATCAAATAAAATTAGAGCTCTCTCCCACTCCCACATTATCTCTCACTCTCTTCTTCTCTCCTTCTACCTCAAAAACAAAAATAAAATTTTTTCACACATACTCTGTATGTGGCCATATGCTAGTTAAGTATTAAATAAAAGTCGAATATGTATTCAATTAAAATATACATCAAAGAATTATAATAATTTGTAATTTAACAGTACATTTTATATCAATTTTAATATTTTTGAAGGATTAAAGTTAGAACTCCTTAATTTCTTTTACAAAATATAATATTTTAATCTAAACTACATATCAATAGAACCTTCTTTGTCAACCAAAAGATGGTGAAAAAACTATTTAGTTTTCTATTAATGTAATTTCATAAGACAAAATTTTGCTGTTTTTTGTTTGAGCCTCACCTACATGTGACTTCAACATTCCTAATTTAAAAAAAAAAATTAAAATTTTAAAATTTTTTTTAGAAAAAACCTATCTCCCTCTCTCCCTACTTCTATGTTCTCTCACTCTCTTCATCTCTCTTTCAATTTAAAAACCAAAAACAAAAAAATTCACAAACTTTATGTGTGAGCATATACTAGTAATAACAAAGTAAACATTTTTTATTATGACAATTTTTTTTTGAACAATTATGATTATGACATTTGTATACTTTTCAAAATGAGATCTTTTTTACTTAGACAACCGTTCACAATGTGTAAAAAACTCACTAGAAAAAATAATCCACATAAGCATCATGCTGACTAGGTTACATATTTGGTTGGACTATTTTACCCTTGAAATTCAATTTAAAAACATTTTTGTTGTTCCAAAATTTGGATTTCCCCATTTCAATTTTCAACCTTAAGAACACATGCGCATTCTTGAAATTATCTTATTAATAGGAACGATACTGTATTACCTTGTTAAGAGACATAAAAATTATATTACCTTGCTAATAGACGTAAAAATCATATCAAGTTCTAAA